ATATTATGGCTAATAATCGCAAGCTTTCTGATGTTGAAAAAGCAACTCTAGAAAAATGAATTCTTCAAATAGTTTAACGGAATTTATCTCTATAGGTAATACTTGCTATCTTACTAAATTACTTTTATTCGCCCGGTTGAAACTATCCTAACAACAACAAGCCTCTATTAGCAACAGATAGATTAAACGCTTTATTAAATGCCATAAAGACTTGAAGTTAAAGTACACAAGCAAATACGATTATTAATGCGCCAAATGCGAAGATCCTCAGGTTATCATGAAGTAGTTTGAATTGGTCCAGAATACCATACAAAAATTTTATATGGCATTCTTGAACAAGATATTTGCAATATGAATAAGACAGGTTACCAAATGAGTATTACATTTACTGCAAAAGTTATCTGTGGACTAGAGACTAGAGGTTCTCATACAAAAGATGTACAACCTGAAAATAGAAAGTAAGTAACTGCAATTATTACAATTGGTAATAAAGATATTATTTTACTTTCTTAAATAATTTTTGCTGGAAAAAAATATCAATCTCAATAGTATACAGATGCGCTAAAAGACTATCGTTTCTCTGTCTCTAAAAATGGATGGACGAATAATGATTTAGGCTTTGAATAGTTTCAAAAAGTCTTCAAGAAATATACAGTTTCTTAAACTATCAGATAATGATATCTCTTAACAGTTACAGCAGTCATGCAACTGCTCAATTTAATAAATTCTGTATAGATATACAGATTGTTTCTCTGTATATATTTGCTCACTTATCCCATCTTTTTTAACTACTTGATGTGGCATGTTTCGGACCATTAAAAAAGCTATATAGAAAAAGGATCCGTAAAGCTGTTCAGAGTGAAATTTATACAATTAATAAAAAAGATTTTCTATTTCTCTATAAAAGTATATACCGGCAAGCCTTTTTAATTTTAAATATTAAAAGCAGATTTACTGTAACCAGTCTTATTCTATTGAAACCAAAGAGAGTCTTTCAAAAGCTACAAATTAAGCTTAATATACGAACTTTATTAGGCTTATTATACAGTAGCTATTCATCTCTTTATCTTGGAAAAATACTAGCCAATCTTTATCAATTAAACAAGCAGAAAAAGTAACTAAGAACTTCAACGTCAGAATTTATTTTTATTAATTGTGGGAAAGGTAGTTAAAAAGGTAATAAAAAGTACAGAAATTATAAAGCAGAATGCTGTATTATTATAACAAAAAATATACTAGCTTCGTGCAGCAGATAAGCAGAAGAAAGAAAAAACAAAAGCTTCACGATTCTTTAATCAAGATAGAGGTAGTTTAACTGGCTAAGAAAAACAGAAAAAAGCTGCAGAAAGAGAAACTGAATTAGTAACTGCTTCTGTACTATTAAAGAGTCAGCTACCACGCTATAGCAATTGCAAAATTAAAGGCTATAATAGATTGAAATGTCCTGTAACTAGAACAACATAAGATGAATGAAAAAAAGGTATTTGTATAGCAAGAAAAGGCTTCAATTGTTATTATATTTGGGCACTGCGGCGAAAATTTTGGTGGGATAGCCAGCTGGCCAGCTCGTTATCGGAATACATTAGCTAGGCCCCCGTCTTAATCCTAAAAAACCTCATAATCGACTACTATATTAAAGTCTATTTGCAGCGATTGTTAACAAATGAAGTGTCAATTTGATCAGTAAAAAGATATTAAACAACTCGAAAAATCTACAATAAAGCTACAGTATTGAAGGTAGGTCTCTACTCTCTACAGCTTATTATAGATATCTTAACTGTAGTAGACTGTAATACTGATTACTTTATAAGGTATAATAAGATAGTGAGTCTTTAAGCCTGAAATTTTTATAAGTTAAACTAAATATATAGTAAAGGAAATAAAGAATTATTGAAAATAATATAATGAGATCGTAAGATCGGAAATTTTTTTTTTAAATATAAAGTATAATAAGTACTAGATACCGATCACTAACAAAGAAAATAGAAACTGAAAAGTAACGGTACAATAGAAAACTAAATAATAAAAAATTAATTTATATAAGGAACGATAGTAAGCTCGTGTTATATGTTGCAGGACCCAAAAAAAATCTAATGAAGGTTTAGTTAAGTATCGGACGTGAAATAGTCTTTAATATTAAAAAAAAAATTTGTTTTTAAGGAATATAAGTCCCGTTAATAGAATAAAGGGAAATAATACGTAAAGCAATAATAAAAAGAAATAGAAAACCCATTACAACGATATAATAAGCTATATAAGACGTGTTTTGAACTCTGCTATAAGATTGGAAGCGTTAATATTATTAGTATAAGTTTATTTATCTTTCTTTATTGTATATCCGCACCAGGTAACGAAATATTAAAAATATAGTATACGGCTTTGCCCGATACGTATAATAGAATTAAAAATGTGTATAACCTCATATCAATTATTTTAATTATTATTATTTTTAATCTTAATAGAACACGGGTAAATATATTAGTATTTAAATAAATTAAATCTAGGCTGAGCGGATTTTAGTTATATAATTAAAAAAAATTAAATATAGAACGTATATAGGAGATTAAAGCAATATACTAAATATCTAAATCTTTTAAGAATCTAAAACGAACTAGTAAATTGCTGCAAGAAATAATAATCAAGATAATAAATAACGTATTCCACAAGCGAGTGGCCACCACAGGCGAGCGGCCACCTCCCGTATCCCATATAGAATGGCACTTTTTAGGACATTGATATCTCAGCCACAAGAGGGCTTTTAGATGAATCGGTTAAAAATACCTTAGTTATATGCCATATTATAGCACTCCTAATTTTTCTATTTTTTTTTTAGTTGAGTTTAGCTTTAAATACTAGAAAGTTTAAAGATATATAAAATACAGCCGTAATTTATTATACCTGGAGAACCCTGTACTTTAAGAAGCAGTCTACTTAATGTATATAAGTACAGTATACGTTTATTCTAATATCTTAGCTTTTAAGAGTTCTAGATGCTTTGTTGTTAAGATATCAATGTCCTAAAAAGCGCTATTCTATATGGGATACGGGAGGTGGCCGCTCGCCTGTAGTGGCCACTCGCTTGTGGAATACGTTACGAGCTGTTAGGATTATATAATCGTAATATAAATAAATGTAAACTTTATTTTCGAAACTAAGTTTCGGAAAAGGAGTATACTACTAATTATACTAAGGTTTTATTTACTTCGATTTTAGAGAATTAAAAAGGTTCTTTTGCGTTATAACGCTACGAATAATCTTAACGAGTAGATAGGCGGAAAAAATCTAAAAATATTGAGAATTTGATCCTAATATAAAACCCCAAAAAATTATCTAATAATTATATTCAGGGAGGTTAATAAAAAGTTTGTATCGAAAAAATTAGATAATTAAATTAAATTAAGAGCCCTTTTATTTTAAGTTTTAATAAGGAACATTTTTTTTAAAAAAAGGTTCAAATAATAAAAACATTAATTTAATATTAAAAAATAAGATTTAATCTTATACCTACAGATAATTTTTAGTACATAAAATAGTAAATGAAATATATAAATAATATAACTAAAATTCATATCGGGATCTGAAATCTAAAATAAATTAAAATAAGGAAATAAGCCTCAATTAATCAATATAAATAATTTAAAATAATATAAGTTCCGGGTTTTTTAGAATAGAATTTTATATTTATTAATCCGAATACGGTGTGACAACCCCAAGATACGATCTCTATTGTATATAAGACACCGGTCTGTTGACTTTACCACTGCACTACATGCCAAAAAAAACACAACGAATGACCAACAGGTCATTCAGTCAACGTACTATATGTGACGGTCTACAAAGGAGCTTAGTAAAAGACAAGTTTGTTTATGACTCGTAGTCAAGGAATTTTCCCATGGAGAGAGAAGGCTATCTAGGAGCGAGGATCTAGGGCCTCTATGTATTGTCTGAGGCTTCGCCTCAGGCAGGAATGCATCCAGGAAGGTTTATCTATACCGGGAAGTTCCTTGGCTCGGGAATTGACAATCCAGTAAGGTCCCTGATTTCAGGAGGTAACACTATATAGGGACCCTGACACAGATCTACTCTAAGAGTTTTAAAAGGATTTAAAAAATATTCTAAGATCTTAGCAAATAATGAATAATTTGATTAATAATAAAAATAATATTAAGGCTGTATAAATAGATAGTAAATTAAATTAATAAAAATAAGATTTAACAGAATATAAATAAAAATAATAAAATAATAATGTCAGGGCCCTGACCAGGTGGTCACATGACCCAGAGACCTCTGGAATTGCACGGCCGCCGCCGTGCAACTTCAGCACCTCGTGCAGTTTATTCTTCAATTAAGCCATACCTATACTCCGGGTTTTGGAGCCTTACAAATAATGTAGTGGTATCTCACTGGCGCCGGAGCCAGCTTATTAATATAAAGTATAAATCTTATAAAATATAGGTATATAAAGTATAGCTTATTCTATATATTGCTAATTAATATATTTATAGGTCATATAATGGAGTCACATGACCATCACGTGACCCACTCGCTTGTCAGGTCCCTGACACTTGTCTTTTACTAAGCTCCTTTATAGACCGTCACAGTTACTAGACGCAGCACTTTAGCCGCCGGCAGGTGTCCAGAATGCAGCTCCTAACATTTTCCCTTTCGGGTGAAAATTCCTTTGCGCTGTAGACGGCGGTGGGTAGTCGGCCAGCTATGGATAACTTCTATCACTTCAATCAAACCCTATTTGAGGGTAGTAACAGGGCTTGCATATTCACATAATTATTCAATCATATCATTAAATGTACTATTGAAGCTAACTAATACAGTGTGCCATGCCCGGAATCAAAGAATGCACACAAAGCACACAAAAAAGGTATAGTGAAGAATGGACAAGACGGCGCACACCTTGCTGGAGTTTCATCTAATACAGTGAGTTTCCATTAAGAACAGGATCAATTGTAGGGTGATTATTAATAAGCTGCCCATCTCCCACATTAGAGGTTCTTCTTCGCAGCCTTGTTTTCTCTGCGACGCTTGATTGCCTCGGGGGTGTATTCAGTGTCAAGCAAGTAGTCCCACCACCGGAAGCTGCTAGAGTAATTACCCACAAATTTTTCATGATGCAGATCATGATGGTCAGCGCCAGCCCAGAACGGAAGGAAATGATGAAGGCTCCAAGGAAACTCGTAACCACTATGTGCGTCGATGGCTTGGAAAAGCCGGAGCACAATCCACACATACATGGTGAATATGTGCAGGTCCCCAGTTACTGCACACCAAAGGATTGGACAGCCAACAGTTCCGAAACCTAAAATCATAACCTCAATCGGAGATGCATACTCAGCTGCCATACCAAAAGGCGCCGAGTATTGATGATGTATCTTATGTATCGCTTTGTAAAGAGGGCCCCAATGAAGTGCACGGTGGGAGAAATAATGCCATGTATCTTCAAGGACGAAGAAAACAGCGATTTGGTAAGCCATTGTCCACACGGAAGGGAAAGGAACCGAAGTCGAGAGACCGAAAAACTGAGCCATGGGGTGAAACAGCCTGAAGATCTCATTAGCGACAACAATAAAACAAACAAGCAACGAGTACACCTACCAGATTTGGGGTAATTCGACAGTGAAGTGGCTGAGTAGTACAAACTTCGCGCAATCCCACTGTTCTCGCAAGGATGGGATTTTGTTCTGCAACATGTTAGTATCATTATCTCCTCAACTAAAATCTTCACTCACGCTCTGAATTTTATAGTTCTTCAGTACTCCAAGACTGTCGATAAAGATCCAGGGTAGGGAACGTCCGAAGTAAACGAGTTCATGCATTACGAATGACATGATACCCGTTGCGAGAACATCGTTTTGCATCCAAGCATACCATGTCGTCCATAATTTCTCAATGAAATTTAGGTGAGTGTTGTATTTGGATATCTCTTCAAACTGACCCCAATAAGTAACTGGGGGGGGCGACAATAATGTCGAGTTCCTAACTTGGTCAGAACCGCTGGAAGATAGCTTGGGAGAGGAAAAAAGGGAAAACAAACTCACATTTTTTGTTGCGGAGGTTTTGCAGATCTAACAAAACAATGCTTCGAATTCTTGTCTGGAAATTGAACTAACTGCTGCAATTCTGGAGGTTATGAGAAAGAACCGACTTGATAAAGAAAGGATGTTTGAAGAAACGTCCGGCAAGGACAAAGTGTGTGGGCGATATTTCAGGGATGGACTAGACCGGAGCAAAAGGCCGCGCGATCAGGACATCCGTTCCCGAGGTGGCGAGACTTTCTTTCCCCCTGTCCTGACTCTTTCTGGCACCACTGCCTAGCCGATCGGGGCCGATACTGTGGCTCCACAAGTCCCACAGGCCATTCGTTATTGTCCACTGATAACCTGACTATTATTTCCTCCAGCGCCGGTTTGAACCAGTCAGCAAGAATACTCGGTACTACGTAGGAGTCAGACAGATCTTTGCTGCCTATGAAAGAAGACCCTTTCATCCCAAGGGGTGCGATTGGACTGACTATCTATAGGTACCTTACTTCATACATACGGTGTAATTAATACCTACGGTGTAATACCTACGGTGCAGGGGTCCGTACACATAGACCTCAGTAAGAAATGTTGGGCCTTCGCGCAGAGTATACTGCTTCCAGCTTGTGCATTATACTGAAAGCCCCGCTCCAACAAAATTGGGAGTTTCGTGTTGTGTGGAAACTGGAAACCCGAAAATAACGGAGTACTACCTGCTCCTGAAGATCCTGAGATCGGCATCGTCTTTCTAGTGGACTTGAAAAAAAAAATACAAACCATCTGCCATTCACCAATAATCCACTCTCATTTACCATTCCTCGATCCACTACCTACACGTCTGCGGAATACCGACTACGGAGTACTCCGTACCTAATAAATAATATTAATGCGTACTCCGTACGATGTAGCTACATGCCTACTAAGTTACCTCCGCGGGTTGCCGCCTCCTGGTCGACCCACCCCTTGCGCGACTGATTGTCCCTTATGGACTGATTCCAACCAAACTCGGGCAGTAAGAAGCCTATCATGTCTGTGATATATAAGTAAGTAACTGGACCATTCGACATCCTGAGAGCGTTCCCTAAATTGATGTAACCAGCAACATCTGTGCCGTGGACACAGTCCTTGATAGACTCAAGCAACATGTCGAAGATCTGCATCTCAACGCCAGAGATCTAGCTGAACAGAGCCAAAATAGCGCCTATTCGTCGCAAACCAACTCACTGGCTAGAACAATCGATTCTCTCTCAGTCACCTCAAAGTCTCAACCGGTACTGCAAGCCGATCGGATTGCAGCTCTGCTCTCGGCGATTCCATATGACGCCCTTGAACCGGACGACCCCTCTAATCCGCTCAGCGCACATACGGCAGACCTACTGTGGCTCTTAGCGGCAAAGGCAGCAGTGCAGACTTCGGGGGCGGTGTTGAACGTTCTTCTAGAGCAAATCATCGATTTCAATGGCGAAATAAGTTACTGGGAGGATGTCCTTGGCTCCCGCTTCAATGTCGCGTTCTATACGCTCCAAACATTGCCCGTGAGGGTTTGGCACAAAACCTTGAACGTTTTCACCGTCAGGTCTCATGAAGACACCACAGGCTCTTCCGCCCCCATCACAGTAACCTGGATGGAATTCTACAATTCGGTTCGTGGGTGCTTTCGCCAACCCTGGCGGTTCTCACCAAAGACAATGCTACTTTCGCCACTTCTCGCATCTAGGCCAGGAATACACCGAAAACGAGACTCTCTGAGGGAAATGAAGGATTTCAATGCAGTCGGCATTGGGATTTTGATGAAGGAATGCATATCACAACATACCACGCGCGAATACGCTGACGACAGATTTGGTGATGGTCTCTGGCGTGATGAGGTATCTAGGAGTGTTGCATTGATAGTCTCTTTTCTTGAACAAACCCAAGATAAGAACAACACACAACGACACAAGGATTTAATCTTGGCAATTGATGAATCAAGCGCATCTGGCCAATTGCACCGCGGCGCTCGTCATGCTTGCCAGTCACCCGCAGTTGTTATCAAACGACTCAGGCACATACATGAGAACCTCCTTCCAAACCACACTAGACTTTCAGCGCGTACTATTACTGATTCGGGACGACCTCCTCGCATCGTGCGCTACTGGTTGCCCATATCTATTGCGGTTTTCTCGACGAGCACCGTCTTCAAATTTCTAGCAAATCGACACCAGAAGATCATCAGATGGGCTGTAAATATTGGATCAACTACCGTGCAATTTTGGAACAACTGGGTCGTGAATCCGATTCAACGGCTAATCAGAACCATTAGGCACGACGAGAACAGCGAAATCGCATTGATGAGCAGGAATAGCCTAGAAGCTGACCGAGCGAGTCTTGAGAGAATGGTTGTCGATTTCACTCTCGATCAGAGAGAATCGCGAATTGGAGATCCTAGCATAAACACAAATGCAATTACTGAAAAGGTCCGAGAAGGGGATTTAACACCGGTCCTAAGGGCTTATGAGAAAGACCTGCGAAATCCTTTCATTGGAACAATCAAAGGTGATCTTGTACGCGCTCTCCTGATTCAGATTCAGAAAACAAAAGTCGACGTCGAAATCGCCATTGGTGGTATTGATTCGCTCCTGAAAAGCCAGGAGCTTGTTTTTGGGTACGTAGAGATTCTCTGCATAACGATGCTTGAAGCTGACGATCCTCAGATTCGTTGGATTGACACCGGGAATCATGGTGTCATATGCATGCCTACGATGGATCTGCGGGATTTTCAGCCCTAGGCAGGGGTTGAAAGTCGGTAGGCAGGATGAATTCAGACATGCAATGAGGTAAAGAGACGAGCAAGGCGCATTTGCTCTGAGGATTTCTATTGCTAATCCGAATGTAGGAATGTTCACCGTACCGCAACATCATCCATAACAGCAGTCGGCCTCTCAGCATACAAAGACCATGGTCTTCTGATATGTGACTCAGAAGTCTTGCTCCAAAAAGCCAAACTGATCCTAAGAGGAGCAGATCTTCGTGCATTCCAAGAAGATGTTGGTGACTTAGTCGACCAGAACAGGTCTGGCAAGCAACTCGATGTGGTTGCGCGGATGGGGTGGGTGTATTCAAAATGGCTTCAATGAAGGCTTCGCTATTTCACCATAGGGCTACCCACGCAAAAATTTCAATTTCAGAGGTGACTTAGGACTGATCCCTTTGCTACGACATCTAAGAAGTACGAAATACATACCATGACGTAAAGAGGGAGGGGACCTTATATTATGAAGTCCGTGGTAAAAATGAACTGATTGATAACACAACGGAGTTGTAAAGAGGCCTACGAGGAATAATTATCCCAGTCAAGACCGACCATGTCAGTCAAGTTTAATAAGTTGTGAAGTAGCTTGTTGACTGATATTGGTAAATGGGGGGTGGGGAGAACCCCGGTGACTCTAATACTGGGTAAGTTATTACACCTTACACTCTCCGTACGGGACATATTATTGTTGCATCCCTAGCTTGACACCAACCGTCTGTCATCAACCCCCCCCCCCCCCCCCCAATAACGCGCTGCCATCACCGACTCCTTTTGTGCATCCAGTTGTCTTACCCTAATCCTCGATCCGCGGAACCAGACTATATTATCTCTTACGTCTCAACCCGTATTCTGGTATCAAGCGGCACACCGAGTGCTCCCGTCTTGTTCCCCTGACTTCTAGCCACCTGTTGAGGTTTCTTCAGGCGACCAACATATTTGCCACCCTAAGGTGGCAGCAGGTCTTCTGCAGGCAGAGTTGGTGGAAAGAAGAAATAACACAGCATTAAGGGTTAGAAGTAACCAACTATCCAAACGAAGAAGAAAATCCCTTTCAATCCTCCCCCTTTCCTTCTCCCAAACGAGAAAAGATCCAGTTAGAGACGGGGAAACATACACTGCACGCGCGACGAAGAGACCTCGACATTACTAGTCTTTATTAATCTGTCTTTGCCGGTTTCTCATTCTTCACTGGACCATTCTTCCCTTACGCCCCCCGCCGCCAGAATTATTTTTATCTATTCAACAGCCAAACGACTACATCATTGCACTCTAGGCGCTGGTTCGTTGCACAATGGCCGGTACAAGGAATTATGACTTCTTGGTAAGTACCGGTCACTACTCTCATATAAGCATTCATATATGGACATGCAAACTAAGGGCTGGTGTCCCAGATCAAATTGCTCCTGATTGGGGATTCCGGTGTGGGGAAATCATGCTGCCTTTTGCGCTTCAGCGAGGACTCCTTCACGCCGTCTTTCATTACTACCATCGGAATTGACTTTAAGATTCGTACTATTGAGTTGGACGGCAAGCGCGTTAAACTTCAGATATGGGACACCGCTGGACAAGAACGCTTTAGAACAATCACAACTGCATACTACAGAGGAGCAATGGGCATTCTTCTTGTTTATGATGTCACAGATGAACGATCATTCCAAAGTAAGGCCACCTTGGGTTTCATATCGGATCCTCACATCGCTAATGCTGTTTGGCAATCTGCAATTCAGATATCCGGACATGGTTTTCAAATGTCGAGCAACATGCTAGTGAAGGCGTGCATAAGATTCTCATCGGGAACAAATGCGACTGGGAGGAAAAACGAGCAGTGTCAACCGAACAAGGCCAGCAACTTGCCGATGAGCTTGGGATCCCTTTTCTGGAGGTCTCAGCCAAGAATAATATCAACATCGAGAAAGCTTTCTACGATCTCGCCTCAGAAATAAAGAAGGGCATGGATACATCAAAGGCAGAACAGGCCGGTCCGCAGGGTGTCAGTATAGACCAACAAGGCTCCGGACTGAATGGTAACACGGGAGGTAAATGCTGCTGAAGATGTCCGTTTATTGCGCTTGGTCCAGCAAAGAATTTCTTTACACTTCCTCGGCTCTACATCCAATGGGCTATACAAACTAGGACTTTGGTATTCTTGATAGCTGTCCCAGGGCTGATCTGATTACCTGAACCGCTTTTATACCAACCCTTGTCAGTTGCACTTGCTTTGTCTCTGATGTTTCTTGACTCGTTAGGTGGCGTTGCTGATTATTCTTTCATTTCTATCATGGTGCCTATGTTTACTGGATATGATTTCTCTTCCTCCCTCCCTTTTTTGTGAGATTCGACGCATATAAACAAATTTGCTTTCTTGTTTAATATATTCTTATATGTAAATGTACTGGTAGTCTATTTCATCCTCCTCCCACTCCGGGGTGAAACTTACAGTCCATTCATTTGTAGACCCCAAGGATACGGATAATTACCTAGCAGCAAACGGTTACGCCGAGCATAGTTAGCCCGCGTACGAGAGTATTCAAGTCGTGGAAGTATTGGTAGTTTGTCCTCGAGACCTAAACTGCTGGAGAAATTAAAGCCCACATCGGCTTGTTTGAGGCGAAATTTCGGTACGGATTGGACTTGTCTACCCATGGTTTATACCAGTCGAGGTCCATCTGAGGTGGTGGCATCCATCTTTCAAATAACTTGCCTCAACAATGCCAAGAATAAGGCTGCAGAGGTGGCACAGAGCGGCCGTAAGGTCCACAATTTTTTTCTCCTTATCTTATCACAGTTACCTCTGGTGAATTTATTTAATTTCTTTTCCAAAAAACGAACCCCTCCCCCACCTTCGAATACCTATTCTCTTTACTGTTTCTTTTTCTTTTCTTTTTTTTTTATTTTTTTTTTCCCCCTTCTCTTCCTTCGAGGGATATGGCAGAAACACGTCTCTTCACAGTTCGACCATTGTCAAAGCAATCACGAAATGACCACCGAGATGCGTTCCGCGTTTATCTTTCCTCCTCCTCATTAGCTTCAATGAAGCTCCGAGCCGGGGATACCTGCATAATCGGGCCACCTGGAGGAATTTCGAAAACAGCCATAGCCTGGAATGCAACCGAAAACATTCAGAACTCGGTGGTCCAGACTTCGCGAACACTTCAGGACCGCTATGACATAAAACTGGGGGAAAAGGTCTCGATCAGCAAAAGTGAAAATGCCCTGGAGGACATCGAATCAATATATTTCGCCGAATGTTCGGATGCCGACAAACTCTCAAGTTATGGCCCTCTTGCCCATACGGAGAGATGCCATTGGGCATGGGCCTTGGAATTTCCCTTATCGAAATGTGATGCTCTTGCGGTCGGCTTGACCTTCGAAATGGAACTGAGAGGCCAGCGACGAAGTTTCCGAGTGTCAGATATACAAGCCCCCAATAGAACCACCCAGAACACCCTGTTCAGGTTCACTAAAGACACCGCCATTTTAGTTGGCGAAGAAAGAGAGGCCAAGAAAGATCGAACTTGGCACCTTCAAGTACGACCAGCCGGCCTTGGGGGGATGACTCGCCAGCTTGGTAGCATCAATGAGGCCCTTGCCGACTTCAATTCGGGGTCTGAAAATCTAGTCATGCCATCTTTTTATGAGCATATTCAAGGTATCCTTCTCTATGGCCCGAAAGGAACCGGCAAAACCAAGCTCTTGGCCCAGATCCAGGAAGCCGGATGGAGGAAATCTTTTAATATCAGCTCTTCTCTATTCACAAGGAACATCGCCGACGGCGAAGCCAAACTCCGGAATGCCTTCAAGGATGCAATCCGCTGCCAACCTAGTGTTGTGATTATCGATCAGCTAGAGTTCGTTGCTCCTAAGCGAACGTCAATGGAATCATCATCTCTAGCGCTGGTGCTATGCGAATGTATAGAAGCTATGAAAGGTGCTTTTGTTATGGTTGTGGGTGCAACTCGTCACCCAAACGACGTTGACGATGCCTTGAGAACGCCCCATCGATTATCATTAGAGATTGAGCTGCAGGTCCCTTCAGCGCAGAACCGCGTGGAGATATTGCGCGCGTTATGTGGATACCCTTCCTTGGGCTTGAGCGATAGACTGATAGATATGATGGCCGAAAAAACACATGGTTATGTTGGGGCCGATTTATTTGCCTTGCTTCAATTGGTATGCCGTAAAGCGCGGCTAAGACAGGTCTCCGAGAAAGACTCCTCTGACAGTCTCCCCAATCTGAGCCCAGCCTGCCCGTTAGGTATCCAGGACGTGGATATTTTGTCGGCTCTACAAGAAACTCGCCCTACTGCGATGCGGGAGGTATTCTTAGAGACCCCAAAAGTGAGATGGTCCGATATTGGTGGGCAGCATGATATCAAAAAACGCCTTCAAAAGGCTGTTGAAAGGCCTTTGAAAGTAAGTAGCCCTTTCCACCAACGGAAACGACACGAAAGTTGATCAATGCAGCACCCGGAACGGATGAGGAGACTCAATGTAAATAGCAAGAAAGGTGTCCTACTCTACGGGCCCCCGGGTTGCTCCAAGACCTTGACGGTCAAGGCACTTGCTACGGAGGCCGGGCTAAACTTTTTGGCCGTTAAAGGCGCCGAGATCTTGAGTATGTTTGTTGGCGAGTCGGAGCGAACATTACGAGACATCTTTCAAAAAGCCCGATCGGCGAGACCTAGCATCATCTTCTTCGACGAGATTGATGCGATTGCCGCGAAACGAAGTAAAACAACTCAAGGAGGGGTTAATGTACTCACGACTTTGCTCAATGAAATGGACGGCATCGAAGAATTACGGAGTGTCCTGGTCGTCGCTGCAACCAACAAGCCTGACGTGATCGATCCAGCCCTGATGCGTCCAGGCCGCCTGGACAATCTTCTTTACATAGGGCCTCCTGATTTGGAAGCGAGAAAGGAGATTTTGAATATTTGGTGTCGCAAATCAGTGGTTCATCCCGAAGTAGGACTGGATGCCTTGGCTGAGAAAACCGAGGGTTACTCGGGGGCTGAGATTGTGAGTATCTGTGAGACGGCCGGAGATGCTGCATTGGACGAGGAAGAAGAGACAGGGCAAGAGCAAGATGTTCGGTGGAAGCACTTTGAGATCGCCCTTCAGCAAGTTAAGAGGCAGATCACCGATGCTGTCCGTGAGGAATACGAGCGATGGGGACGATCCGTCGAACTTAGTCAATAACCGAACTCCCCCGTACAAACATGCGTGTATATATACATGTATACATATAGTACAATATACAACGGTACCGAGTATAATATATGTACAGTACATACATATTCCGTACACCAGCGGTAATTCTCCGCACTTCGATATCCGTCCGGGCTAACCTAGCTTGGGCTAGTTTAATCTGCTAGTCGTAAAGCTCTCGCGGCCTGCATCCGTCCCGCAAGAGCTCTGCATGTGCCAACTTCTCCCAACTGGAACATACGTACATCTCTCTCTGCCTTACAGAGCTGGATGGCCCTGGATACACAACATGTCTACAGCTTCCTCACGAGGGCGCTCGCCAACTCGCTCACCTCGCGCGATGAATCATAACCGGAGCGGTTCTGCCAAACGATCATTGTCCCCTCGTTCCGAACCAAGAAACAGAGGAAGCCGAAGCCCATCTTATGAGCAACCTTCTGATCGCCGCAACGGTCATCGTCGACCAAGGAGTTTGTCCCGTTCTCCGTCCCCATCGCGACCAACTTCTCGAAGTTTAAGCCGAACTCCAAGCCGAACTCGGGATTGGAGTCGGGACTCCCGATCGCACGGAAACCGCGATAATGGTCGAAACTTTAGCTCCCCTGACAGTTCCCCAAGGAGCTCGAAGGTTAGTTGCCGTCTTTATACCCTGTCACTCTCAACTAGAAAAGCTTACGTTGATTAAAGATTGTCGTCGAAAAATTAACCAAAAACATCACAGAGTCTCATCTCCGGGAGATCTTCGGAGGATTCGGAGACATCCAAAGTCTCGAGCTTCCAATAAACAAAGCCTGTAGGTAGACAAAAACAAACAAGGCCCACACGGACTTGAGGAAGAAGCTGGCTAACGTCTTTCCCAGTTATGACGAACAGGGGCACCGCCTATATTCTCTATCATGACCCGGCAGATGCAGAAGCGGCGATCGCCCACATGCATGAAGCTCAACTTGATGGTGCTTTGCTGAATGTGTCCATTGTCCTCCCCAGAAGAGCCTTTTCTCAGTCACCACCACCACCAGAAAGTGCGAGAAACTTCGGGCGTCACACGAATGGGCGTAGCCAGCCTTTTGATAGTCGTGCTCGCGTTTCTCCGTACTCGCGTAAATCTTCACCTCCCCGGCGCAGATATGGTCGTCCCAAGGCTATGGAAAAACATGATATCTATCGCCCGCGATCCCTGTCTCGATCCCGATCCCCCCGTCGTTCTCGTTCATCATCTTCCGGTCCACTGTCGCCACCCGCAAGAAGAAAATCGCCCTCGCGCAAGGGTAGCCCGCCTCGCCGCCACCGCCGCCGCAGTCCTAGCTACAGCAGCTATGATTACAGCAGCCAGAGTGATAGAAGCCGTAGCTCAAGCAGAACGAGAGGGCGCGATCACTATGCCTCACGAAGAAGATAGTTTCTGCAGGATTATAGTGGTAAATTGAAGGTGGTTTATTAGAATTCTATGCTTGTGGAGGGGTCGCTGCCTCTTATGCTTCCGGACTTGGGTAGTCTTTTCAGCCTTTTGAGGTGAGAATGAGGAATGTAACGAATCACGTGGAACCAAGGGAGGGGAAAAATCAATCATTAATGGTACTAATACGAATACATTTTCTTTCTATTTTCGTGTTCGGAAGTCTATCCCACTTCTACCATAGCTATTAGCAACGGATGCTTGGAATGGAGCATGTGCCGTCTTGTGAGTTTAGAAGAATGCACACCACCCGATGTACATCGCGGCGAGATTCCTCTCGTCTGTGGCCTCCGTAATCAGCTCATCGACATGACCATCTACTGACAACGGAACAGATTCCCCGGGCAGTAGACCGCGCAGCTTATTCCGAACATTTTCCAGAACGCCAGAAGGAGAGTCCGGGACTCTCGCATGGGTACGACGCTAGACGAAACGCCCGGGTTAGCCTGAGTAGAAGTGTTCGTTGGGGTTTCGTTGGGGTTTTAAGTGGAATTTACTTTTTTCCCGATAAAATCAGCGGTTGGATCATGTAAGAAGGTCTCGAGTACTGTCATGAGCGCATCTTCATTCTGTCGTAAGAGCCCGAGGCTTATTTCGCAAGTCTTTCGGAACGGGCCTGATGGCATTGATGTTTTAGTCATCCATTCACCGGAAAATGGGGGCTGGGGGTGGGGAGGAGAGAATGATACCGTTATAGCCATATGCTCCGAACGCATCGATCATATTTTGGGTTAAACGAAAGGGGACCAGTTCAGGTTTGTCAAATGTCAATCCCTGCCACAGTTAACTATCCAAAGTATTTCCCAGTAGAATGAAAATTAGGGTTCTTGCTCTACCTTGTCAAAAAGACAATTGAAATCAACATGGATGATACCACCTGTTCCTTCTTCAAACAAGATGTTTTCACCATGGCGGTCTCCGAGTCTGCAGGAATTTCGATGTTAGAAAGAGAAGGATCGAGTGCGTATATTTGCGTGCTCACCCTAAAACGTATCCAACCATGGACATGACAGCACAGGATCGAGTGTAGCGAAGCCTTGCTGCAAACCACGCCACTGATTCTGGAAACATCTCTACAAACCACTCATGTAAGACCGGTGGAAACCTAGATTGTCTATCAGCTATGACTGTTCAATGTAACTGAAAGCTTTTGTGGTGGCTCACTTCGATAAAATTTCCGTTTTGAAAAGAGGAAGCTTCTTGCTTTCGGAACATGCTTCGTTGAGATAGTGTCTAATTTCGTTGTACTGATTTGGGGGTTATTCCAGCGGCATGAACTACCACGTTGGCGCTGGGTTGAAACATTGACTTACGTTCGGTGTGACACCTCTTTCTCGCAGCAGTTTAATGACTAGGTCTCTCAGGGTCCTGAGGTTGTCCACCCATTCAATGAGTCCGCATTCTTCGTTCAGGGGCGTAACAGCATAAGTTTTAATGTCTGCCATTGGAGATCAGAAAAAAAGGTTGCATCGATAATAGGAACGCCAGGTAATATGTAACTTACACATGCGTCGCTTGCTCGACTCAACATCTCTTTTCAGAAACCTATTAATCATGTTGTTGAATTCCATGAGGCGCTGGTCTTTACGAAGATCATCTTTTGGTTTACATAAGATGTTGTAAATCTTTCCGTCAGACCCACGAATGCTGATCTTCCGAGGTTTTTGGAGAGAGTTCAGGACCTGCGCATCGCTAAGGACGGCTAGGTGACGTTAATCACATCGTGCATGTTTGTTATGGATATGGAAATCTTACTCTCGATGGTGGTCGGGTCTCTGGGGAAGGCTCTAAACCCCTTCAAATACTCGGAGTCATGACTGGCAGGTAAGGTTGGTGTCAACATTGCTTGAAATGGCACGACTAGTCGACAGGGAGCCACTTTGTGGTTGAAGCCCAAATTCCGTGCCAGGTTGACCCTGGACGATTTATCCTCAATCCGCACTATACATAACCTAAGCATCTCTTCCGAGAACTTTTGACCTTGGTTAATCATGCCCCGCATATCAGAAGGCGAATCTGCTTTGAGCTTCTTGTTCACTTCCTGTTGCTTTTTAGTATTGAGTCAGTCCAGAGGCGGGGTTTGACCTTTACCGTGATCTTCTGTAAGCAGTTAATGCCTTTTGATGCTCTGTCTTTGGAAGAAGACTTTACAACAGCGAGTACTGTCCAGAGTCCTTGATGCGGGAAAAAATTCACCGCTTTGGCCACGATTTTCGTTAACAAGTCGTAGACCGTAGCATTCGGATGGCAAATTCGAGCCACTACCTGAGGGAGGATGGTGAAGAGCTACTACATATGAGAAAAGAATAGCCGCGAGAGAACAACACAAGGCGGTCATACGCACCAATGCAGCTGGCATTCGATTGACGTACTTCTTCAGCTGTGAATGCATATCATCAAGGCTCTTCTTTCGTTGATTCAAGGTGTGTATCTGAAATTCCCTATTGCTTTCCTGCATGAGCAACTGTTAACGATGGGGCAGTGACAGACGTACTCGTTATTTCCTCTTTTGGGGTCGAAAGGCTGATCTGCAGTGGAGGCATGCTCTAGCCAAAGTGTCAGGATCCTGGGCAGCGACTGAAAGACATATTTGTTCCCGTGAGCTAAGGAGCGGAGATAATTATCAATGACGAGCTTTGAGGCTTCACCACTCAAGCTAATCTTTGGCATTAGTGACCATGATTAGCCTAGATTTAGAGAACAGGCCTTACAAAATCTGTGCCTCTTTCCCAAGAGGCTTTGCTTTTTCAGATTCCAGAATCTTGTTGTAATGTTTCCCCAGATAATAATGAGCCTTTTCCCACCTGTTATCGATTAGCGTGTCCGGAATAGAATTTCTCTAAGGAAAGTATACCTTGGATGGAGTTTAATGGCTTCGCGATATCTCTGAACTATGATGTCTGATTGTGTCTGTCCAGCTCGGTCCGTCCATTTGGCCAATAAAAGGTGAGCCTAGTCATAATTAGTCCTGATGCATCCTTTGTACACAGCATTTCAAGAGTTATTGTGGCGTTGGGGGTGAGGAGCATACTCTGGCTGTGAGTAAATCATGACTCTTCTCCCGATCTAAAGCAGTCCGAGCCGAATCAAGGTCGACCGGACAGGATCTGTCGAGAGAAAACTCATTGGCAGTTATTGCGCTCTCCAGAGTCTGTATTGCTTTTCGGTGATGACCATCTTTCCAAAGCAATCGAGCATGTTCAATGGTGGCCGTTTTATCTCCTAGACGTGCTGCGTGAAGCATGGACTGATACGCTCGATTGGTGAAGTTACCCTTCCGTAACAGGCGTGTGCTGGCAAGCCAAGCAGCAGCTATGCTAAAATCGGAGAATTTGCCACTGAGAGATTTAACATTAGCTATAGGTCAATGATGTCTTTTGAGGAGGGAACCATACGTCAACGCCATTGCAGCCCTCCTTAGACCAAGGAGGTACTGTTTGTCAGAGATATGCCCCCCTAAAGCGTTCAAGCGGCGGTCTAAAGCATTACACAATTCTGAGCGCACAGCACTATTTTCGGTCTGGGGATTTGTTATGGACTCTACTTCTGCCAAAGCATGTAACTTGAGAAGGTTATCGTGGCACGACTGCAATGATGTCACGGAATTAGCAGTTAACGACTTCGCGACATGGAAGCGTAAGTTATTGATGATTGTTTCGAATTCCCCTGTGTCTCCATGGCGAAAAGCATTGAATGCCGAGCCAATCCCAATATTGAACTCCCCGGTGCCCTGATGCGAGGAAATTTGAAGATAATCGTGTAGCTTGTCCCATTTCCCCGTAATCCAGGCCGCTTCCACAGCAAACGGAAGTAACTTGGTAGCAGAGGGTGTTGACTTTAGAATTTCGAACCTAGTGAGTATTGCTTCTAGAAAGGGGGAGAGGTTTTAGTCAATGAAACCTTAATGAGAGGATTTAATTTACCTTGTTGCCCAGACTCTTTAAGGCACGTGAGTAGATTCCATTGAGCATCACTATTATCGGGCTCCTCCTCAAGTTGTAACTCGTACCAGTTTTGGGCCGTAGCCCATCTCCCCGCCTTGCGGTGTTCGAGAACCTGCTGGTCAATGTTTAGTACATGTAAATGAGTAGAAATACCCTCGATACCATCTGGCTCGTCGATCTGACTGTAGATTTCCTGAAGGCGCTGATATAAAGGTTCCTCGTTAACTCTAGGATTCTTGTTCGGATAGGCTTTGGACTGGCGGATGTATTGTTCCCAATGGAAGAGTGCTCTCGAGAAAGATTTGCACTCAACAGCTCTTTTAGAGATTATTTCGGGCGGCATCGACGCCAGCAGGGATTCAACCGATTTTAGTTGAGACGAATAAGTGTCCAAAAGCAAATCACGGGAAGCGCCCTTGTGGTTGCGACCGACATGATGTCCATGGTTGTTTAGGCTATTGATCTGCTTCTTTTTCCCTTGCAGCCATCTTGAAAGATAATCAAGTACTTCAAAAACACTCTATGAAGGCTAAATTTAGTGCCTGTATTGTTGTGCAAAAGGAGGGGAGACAGGGAAACAAAGAGAGAGAACTTACCTGACTGGATAGCAACACCGCTTCGGAAACAAGATTGTTCGCATCTGAAAGGGGGTGAGATAGCACGTTTATGAGCTCATTTAGCAAATCTTGCTGCTCTCGCATAGTCCCGCCCACCACGCGATTCAGAACCGCAAATGGTAGAAGGAAGGAGGCGATCGAGATATCTTGGCCCTTTACAACACGGCTGCATACGCTAAATATGAGCCGTGCATTATCACCACTTCCTTTCTGTAATAAATCTTGCACAAAAGCTCGCAGCCAATCTCCATGCGTCATGCTCGCCGAGAATAAAGGGTATCTGCAATTTGAACCGATGGCGCCAACGGTCACAGTATATTTCGATGTGAGAAAAGGGGTAAGAGTGTTGCGAACAGTTTCGGGGAGTTTCAGCCAACGTCCATACTTTTCATCCGCTTGAACATCACGAGAGCGTTGGGTAACGGCCGAGTCGAGACTGCAAAACCTTAGCAGCCCTTGCATAGCATACGCAAGAAATCCTTGAGCCCTAGTGTTGGAGGCCGACAAGAATGTTTCAACTAACACATGTTGAAGGAAGAAAAGGATAAAGTCAAAGGTCTCTTCCATGTTTTCGAAGTTTGACAAGACAAGAATATCTTTTTTTTCTTTGATCGAGTCCACTCGGTTAGCATCTAAGCAACCAACAAGACCTAGACATCGAGCTGACATGAGTGTTATGATGTCTGAGTTCATATTGAATTTGACACAGCAGTCAAGTAAGACTCGCATTAACTGTCCAACAACCGGATCTGGCTGTTCGCTGAGAACGGTTCGATGAAGAAACTCATCATGCTTCGAGAGGTATGGCACCAACTCCGTCAATGCCTGCTCAACTACCGTAGCATTCTCACTTTGACAACGACGAATGAATGCTAAAAGCTGACTCCGAGTATCCATCCGCCCTTTCAAATTATTCATCTCGTTTTCGAACTCAGACATCATCGGGATCGAAGCCAGTGAGGGCATGGTCTGATAAACATCCTCCACTAGTTTGTTGTGGTGTTTCAAGATGAACTTCACGAGGTTATAGGCACATTCCTTGGTCGTTTCCGTGAAATTGTCCCAGTACCTTATCACAATTGACAGGGTTTGGTCAATCAAAGGTTCGACTTCTTCTTCGTTCAAGGAATTGATCAATACGCTCCAAACAGTGACAGCATGATTGCATAAGTCTTCAATGTCGAGGGCAGATCGCAGGCAGGCGCATATCTTCGCTGTGCTGTTAGCTGAATTTAGTCCCTTGAGAAAACTGGCTAGATTAACGGACCTGTGGCAATGCACTACCCACATGCCCCCCGGCCACTTTCACCATCGCGCCTATGGCCATGATATTTCGTTTCTTCTCAAGCAGAGGCTGTCGGATTTGGAAATCATTGATGACATGAGCGAATTGGGTAATTATTCCAAGCACGTGCTCCTCAATAAAGTGGCCAATTAAGTCCACCTTTTTTGGTCCATGACTAGACTTTCGTGGAACAAGTGCTGCCAGAAGATGAAGAGCTCTATGAAACTGTTAAATTGTTAGCATTCAAAAAACAAAAATTTGATACTAGTTTAAAAGTTACCCTGGCACCTTTATCATCACCGGAGTCACCAAGGCCTTTCAACAAATCGCAAGCAATCAAAATCGGCTCGATTCTTACTAGTTCGGCAAGGGTGCGACACTCAAAAGCATTGTCTATCTCAGAGAGAGTAGACATGATCATGTGCTCCGGATCCGACGAAGGCTGACTCAATAAGAAAGCAAGTATTGCTGCCAGATTAGCTTTCTCGGAACAAATATCGAAGGGTGTTTTAATGTCCTGGTAAGTTGCTCCTATCCTGGCAATGAAATCTCGTTTCCGTGTAAGCACCAAATAAGGCAACACATGAGCTTCTGTCAACCTAAGGAAGTCGTCTACTTTCATCCCCAATAGACTGCAAAGCTGTTCTGCCATGTATGGGCGAGATTGAAAATGCTTCACCACTGCGACAGAAAGTGTTCCCCAGAAAGGCCGAAAAAGACCAGCAGGGGTAAGCGATAATTGTTGGGCAAGTTTCGAAAGCTGATTCGAGTAAGCTTCTCTAGATCGCAAGGGGCCGGAGTTTGAAGATAGGATGGACACATACTTCAGTGTATGCAATTGCGCAGATGAATAGGTTCGGATGTCCTAGATATTCCAATAAACGAAGTAATATGATGTTCATTTCTTCGTCGCCGGAAAGTCTGCGACAACCCAACAGGGTTAGACGATATAAAGACCAAGGAAACAGAGGGAAACCGACTTTGCAAGTTGACATAATGTCAATATGCACGTTTCATGCAGTGATATTTCCTGTTTCTCAGAAAGGCTTCTTAGCCACTCCAGCACAATTATAAAATTGTCTCTGCGACTTTCACGGTCTAGCCTTTTATGAGTAACTGCAATGACACAATGCCTAAACGCGCGTCAGCACGCCAGAACACACAAAATCTCTATCCGTAGAACGAAACAAGCGACCGACGAAGAGGAAGATTGAACATACCCCGTGGCAACTCGTAATTCTCTTATAGAGCTCCGAAGTGAATGCAAGCAAAAGTCGCCAAAAAAAGATGATGAGAGCCGCAGATCGAGAGAACCTGGAGAATGCGTGAGGATTCGCCGCAGTGCAACCATTGAAGCTATCCTCGGAAGTGGAGCACGCGTGAGCCTGGGTACGATATAAGCCATAATTTTGTATAGTTCATCCGTGTCAGAACATCCCCAGTCTGGCTTGAGATCATGCTCATGAGCATCATAATCACACACACGGCAGATATACACGGCCTCTGGCCCAGGAAGAGGTATTTCTGATAAGCCACCAGCCATAGCACATGATATGTTGCCGAGTAAACCAAGCAACTCGCATTGGAGCTGTTCTGAAACTTGCATGAACTGAACACTATGAATTTCGTTTCTCATTGTGTATCAGCATTGCAAGAAAGAAATAAGAAAAGGACAGATTTAGATGATTCCTTACAGTATAACCTGGCGAAGCTCTTTCAGGTTCCCAGGTTTGCCGCATTCGAGCAATGCTAGGCAGTCTTGGATTAGTCTTTGAGCCGAGTCCTGGCTGTTGAGTTCTTTTAAAAGCCGTGGCTTAAGGATGCGACTCGATGCCTGGTTGATCTCATGGATTTGCCCTCTGTTGGATTCCCGACATTGGGCGAGCCTTGCCAACTCAAGCGTATCTGCGTTGCGAGGTTTTGATACAGAAGGATTAGAATGATCGTGCAGAACATTGGCGCCAGTGAGGTTCTCAGTGAAAGTTTCAATCGCCGCCTGTCATCTGATGAGTCTATCTATGCATCAATCTTGGCATTTGGCGTGCGCAAAAGGAAAGAAAAATGAAATACCTGGAGTTGTGGGTCCAAGGACTGTATGAGTGAAGGTACCCTCTTAATTTCAGAAATTCTCGGCGAAAGTGTATGCTTCGTTATCCTTAAAAGGGATCTCGAATCACCTATACAGCCAGCAACTCCGAGAATGAGCCGACTGACCTCGGGATGTAATATTCGAAGTTGACTCAAATGTTCCACAACTAATACTTCATCCAATATTTGAATTGTTCCGTATGCCCACTGGGTTTCCAGCAATGAGAACGCACCACAGTCATGGAGGCTCCCGATGTGGCTCAAGATTTGTAGACAGATGCGTGCTTGGCTCTCGAACCCGTCTAAGTCGGCGCTCTGGAGCCAACGAAAGCTAAAACTCCACAATCGCTGATAACCGTTCAGAACCCAGGCTAGATTGTGTCGAATAAAGCCGGTGGTAGTCTTGGATTTCCAGAGTGGGTTCTTGGAATGATCTGGTATCAAGCAGTCGAGCAAATGGAAAACAAGATTTATGGCATTTGAGGTTGACCCAAGCTTGAGTTTTCTATCGAAAATGGCGTGAGGGAGACCAAGGCTGTTTAAATCTACAAAAAGCCGCCCGCCGGCGACGGGCACGGTTAATTCGATTGCGGAATGGCTTTGCAGCTCATAGTGATCTAAACTTTCAAGGCAGGAGAGTATCTCTAAACATAAGATTAGTGGAACGGGTTTTCAGTCCACTTTTTTTCGAAAGAAGAAAAATAAAACTCACCGGTTGTGCAAGCTCGCAGAAGCCCCAAAACCGAGTGAGAAAACAATACCCTCGTATGTCTGTATTGAGCGAAACTGAGGGTTGAGAATATGGCACCGATCCGTTGGCTCATGCTTTCATTCTCCCAGTCACAAAGCAGGCGAAGCAGTCGTACCACCAGCCAAGAATACAAGGGCGCAGACGTCTTTTCCCCAAGGAATAGGAAGTCGGGATTTACTGTCAACATCTGGGGGGCTTTCTCAACTATAGTCTGAATAATGTCCAGGCAGTCCAGGATTTGGCCTTGAGGGTCCTCATTCTGGGTAGACGGTGCTAGGCCTGCTTTCAAAACAATGCAGATTAATTTGCTGACATCGGTAATGCTATCATCAAGGCGTAGCTGATTGTATTCACCCCCAACAAGTTCTTGTCGGAGCTGGGAAAAGGTTTCTCTGCTCAGGTTGTGTGCCTGTGTTCCCTGCGATGAGAGACGCGGTGCCAGTTGCGCTGCAAGTGTAGATGGCACCGGCTCTGCAGAGCCTCGACCGCAATGCCCTGCCGTATGATACATCTTGGAGTCATCGGTTGCCATGACAAGTGGCTAGCTGGCCCATCATTCTGGACCTCCCTGAAAGTCGGATCTTGGAAATATTGCTGAGCGTCGTCCCTGGAATATTCAATTGAACTCGTCAAAGAAAGCGGTGAGATATTTCCTGTGACCTGTATGTACTGTTCTGCCATACATCTATTACATACCTTATCTTACAACGGTGAAGGATCATACCTATACTGTATTAAGTTAATTGACCTGTAACCATATTACTACTCTTTTTACTTTCTACTTTCTAGGTATCCACTTACTATGGCTTTTTGTTTAAGGGTATCTAAAAGGTATAATTAGTTGGGTAATTATGGAAAATCAAAGATCTATTCTTTTCTATCTTTTTTACTTCAATGCTCTGATAACTTTCCTGTAGGAGCGAATACTACCTACCTAACCTTAAGAATCGGCCTATAATCATAATGGCGTAACCACTGATATTACGTATAACTATTACCAAATAAGCATACGCCAAGGTACAGAGCATTTACGGCTATGGAGTGTCTTTCTGAATAAACCTAGCTAGCTAGATAGAACCTCACATAAATTGGAGTGCGAATGAAGAATGAAGAACGGGCCGCCAAATACCTACCTAGTAGGTACAGTACCTGGGTACACTCATTATCTTGTGGCAATCTCTTATCGGTGTGGGGTCCCATCTTGCTAACAAACTATCGCATTTTAACTGCCCGCAGCTCTCTTAAGCTGCAGCCCTCCTCAGGTCGATAGCTGCTGAAACATGTCCCACACAGGAACTCATGAGCACACATGTGCTTCTGAAAAGGACTCAAGACATGCCTACTTTATGAAGCAAGCCCTCTTAATGGTAAAGATTTCCATGACTAGATCTTGCATACATTGGTACTTATAGCTCTCCTAGGGAGAAAGGGCCCTCGAGACTGGTGAAACACCAGTGGGATGTGTCCTGGTACATGACAACAAAATTGTTGGGTCTGGGATGAATGATACCAATAGGTCAATGAATGTAGGTGGTCTCGCACCCACGAGGTCAAACGATCAGGAAGGGGGAGAATAGTGGCCGTAAGAGAAATTAAGTCCCAATCACTAGGACACCTTCCTCATCTGGTGTCGCAAACCACTTCTATGTTCCCGCCATTACTACTGACAATTCTTCTTCTTTTTTTTGTTCTAGGGTACACGACATGCCGAGTTTATTGCTATTAGTGAAATGCTTCAGAGTTATCCCCGGTCCGCACTACGCTCCACGGATCTTTATGTTACGGTCGAACCGTGTGTTATGTGTGCCTCTGCCTTAAGGCAGTACCAAATTAGGACGGTTTATTTTGGCTGCGGCAATGAGCGGTTTGGTGGCACGGGGAGCATTTTGTCCTTACATGCCGAGTTCGTCACTAGGCGCCTCTATTATCCTGTGCAATACTAACCTTTTGACCAGTATTACGAAGGATTCCCCCTACCCTGTACAAGGGGGACTGTTTTACAAGGAAGCTATCATGTTGCTTCGGCGGTTTTATATACAGGAAAACGAGAAAGGTTAGATATCTTTGTTGCCCCTGAAATTGATATTAATGAATGCGCAGCACCCAAACCCCGCCCCAAAAAGCACCGAGAACTTAAAACGGAATTTACGACCAGTGTTGAGCCATACTGATTGAGGAGCTTGAGTGGAGTGAGTAGACGGCGAAACTTGTCAATTTCTAAATACGAATACATATTTGGCTTGTAAGCAGGATTCTTAGAGCGCGAGAGCCTTCAATGCGCCTGTGGAATGTTGTTCTTTCTCAGAGTTTTTCAGATCGGACCTATTTGAATCTGATACTCAAGCAGATCCGGTCCTTGCCAAACGATCGGCCTCCAACTCTCGTTCAGCTTGTTGATAGTATTTAGCAGTGTCGATGCCGTGCTGCCAAGTTATCAGTATCATCTCCAGTTATCAAATAGGCCAAAGACACAAAGACATACCTGGTCGTGGTTGACAAAGTTGAACCAAGGAATGACGTGAATAAAGAGTTCGGAGAACCGAGAGTTCCGAGCAGCAACCCCTTGCAAATAAGTCGACACTTGAGAGGACCCGTAGAGAGGCTCTCCTTTTTTGACTTTGCCCACCATTTCCTTCATATCCATGTCAACCTCCCTTGAGTTTTCCGTAAATCCGTAGAAACGATCTTCGTTCAGGGTCAGTCGAGACGTACATCAGTCGGATAGTGGGTGTAGTTCAGAAGGACCACATACTGCATGATCGTTGGTAAAGTATATGTAAGCCTCCGATGAGACCAATAGCTGTCGCAAGTCGCATCACAGGCGCAAAGCCTCCTCTGCCCACATGCGAAGGGCTCACTCTTTCCATAGCCCAAAAGGCAAGAGGAGAGGCGGCCGCGGCTCCCCCGGAAATGGCATAGTCAGATGGTCTCGCATACCCGAAAACCCGTCGCAGATGCCTATTTGAATGAGTATGTCTTCCAATAGTTCGATGTTCAAGCGCACACGCTTTTGAGGGATACCATACGGGTCAGAGTCAATCAGCTTTCACAGTAGTTAGCCACCAGCCGCAGATTCCAAAGAAGAAACAGAAAAATAAAAAAGACAGTGGAATTAAGCTCACGGGATAGTCAGTATTCGCCCGCTTGGGGGGAACAATCGCATGTTTCGGATCCGCCGCCATTGTTTATAACTCGAGTTGCAGATGAGGCGCAATCCCGGCTGGCTGTCTAAGTGAAGTCGAACTTGAGTTGTGCCAAGCAGGACGCCGGCACTATCTTACTAAGCATGGAAGTCAAGATGTGGCGCTAATTACATGGAGACGGAATCAGCCACGTCTATAAGTTAACTAAATAACTAGTATTACTGCTTACCTCAGCTGCCCCTGGGGGAACGCGAGTCGCGTCAACTTGCACGACTTTACCTTAAGGCCGACCAGATAAGGTCCGTTGAGATCGAGACCCACGCTCACTGTGCCTTACTGGCAGCTCCGGCTCTAAAACGCAAATGCGGGAATTAATAAATTGACCATGGAGCACAAAGATTTCTCTGAGGCTCCGAACGATCAATCGCCAGTTGATGTCAATGATCTCTTCGACTACGATGTTGGCCTGGACGAACTATTACAACAGCCTCCGCCGAGCTCAATTGCTGCTAATGCGCCTAGACCGTCTTTCACTCCCGAGGCTTCGGGGTTGAAATTAGGGCTCGATGAAGAAGTGAAAGTAACCAAGAAAAGACAACCTGTGGCTAAACTAGACGACAATCGGTGAGTTCGTGATGTCTGACCATAACACACAGAGCTGACGCAATTGAAGGCTTTTGTCACAAGCCGGAATCCCGAAACTACGTCGCACCGCGAAACAAAGGTTGAAGTTCAAGGGGAAGGGACATGAGGTATTATAGTCAACTGTTAAAGTCCTATGAACATTGCGAAGTTTTCTGACGCAGAATAGTTCTCTGACACAGCACGCCTGCTGAACTTTTACCAGTTCTGGCTTGATGACCTTTTCCCCCGAGCCAAATTTGTTGATGGCCTAGCTATCATCGAGAAACTCGGCCATTCCAAACGCTTGCAGAACATGCGCAGAGAATGGATAGAAGAGGAAAAGCCACGAATGCAGGCAGATGCCGGACATATGCCCGAGTCGCTTGGTTCACATCATCCAGGGGGGGACGATCAACAGCCTGGATTCAATAATCACCCCCCGCCCCATGAAATACAAGAAAAAACCGAAGACCACATGCGTACACAACTTTCTCTACCAACAGACGATCTCGAGCAACTATTCATACCCTCTCACGACGATGCCTCGCACGCCCCTAGCCAAGATACTCCCGATGATGATGAGCTAGAAGCCTTGTTGAATGAACATAACATATAGCCAGGACCCATGACCGGTCTGATTGAAATCTCAACGATTCAAGGGTGTCAGCTGCCATTCCTGGGCAGGAAACAGCGACATGAGAAGTTTGATAAGATAAGAATCTACGGAGTACCGAGTCAAAATATGATTAACTGGGCTTGTCATCTAGTAATATCAGTTCTTAAAAGAAACCACTACTTGAACAGAGCCAACTATCTTATCTTTCAATGGACATTAAATTCTGTAATAAGTTAGGAAATAACACATTTGGAAAATGATACAGTTGATATTATTACACCCATACCCAATCTCAAAGACAGCTGACTTTATTCATCAAAACAGCGGCAAGAAAATCAGATTGGCGAAATCGGGATTGTTACTCGTCCCGCCTGTCCTGTTCAAGGGACACGACTGACCATATAACGAACGTCCAAACTCAAGACTTCACGGGCTCTGTGAATACTGAGAATTGACCACCAGCTCCGGCCCAATTAAGTGTCTTGCCACGTACAGCAGTGTTCTCCACGATGGTTGCTACCTCGATATCATCCGAAGTGCCCTGGCCGGTTTGGTATGTAGCAGAGAATCCCCACGACCAGGGACGACCATCAGCGTCAATGGCGATTGAATGATCAGACCCGGCTGCTACAACATTGGCCTTGATCCCTAGCACGGGCGTGGGCTCAATTAAGATGCGAGGCCGTCCACGTTCATCTTTGATAACCGCTTCGTCAGGAAGAGTGTCGATTTTCAAGCCTGTCTGATACCCGTCCAAGCGACCCCACACAAGACATTGGCCATCCTCAGAGGCAGCAAGCGAATGATGGGCACCGCCGCAGAGCTGGGTGACATTTTTCCCGGACAAGGAGTCCACAACAGTGGGATGAACTATAGCAGCCTCGTCATCACCGGCACCGTTACGAATGCCTGTCTCACCAAAACTATTCAAGCCCCAAGCATAGACTTTGCCAGACTGATGAACAGCGAAGGAGTGAAATGCGCCAGAAGCTATGTGAACGATGTTCTTGGGGAGGCCAAACTCCCTCGGCTGGAGACCGTTCAGTCTGTTCCGTTCGATAATGCGACGACCCAATTGGTTCTGCTGGCCGGATCCCCACGAAAATACGGCACCTTTGTCATTCAAAGCAAGAACATGATTATCTCCACATGTTAAGTGTTTGATTTTCTTCAATGACGGGATCAGAGCCGGGGTAGACTGGACCTCGTGAGCAGCGTCAAACCCTAAGATACCGTCATTGCTCTATGGTGTGTTAGAAAATCAACAAAAAAGAAAGGAAAAGAAAACAACAGGGACAACCTACTCTGAATGTTCCCCATCCATAAACCTGGCCATCATCTGTAAGGGCGAAACTGGAGCTATCGCCAGCAGCAACTTCTACGATGATGGTGCCTTCAGGGAACGCGTGTGATGGAATGGCAGTTGGTGTGGACTCGTGTGGATTCAGGGCAGGTTCATCGTCGTCGGAGTCGGAGTCGGCATCGCTCTTGTTGTCTTCAATATCCTTGTAGCCTCCTTCCCAAGCGGTCTCTCTCCCAAGAGCGCCCTGATCGTTGACACCCCAGGTAAGTACTTTGTTGTCGTATGTAAGGGCAACGCAATGCATGCCACCGACAGCAATTTGCACAACGCCGACGCGGTCTGCTGGCAGATGGGGGTTGAGACGTGGGCGTTTGACATCCACCGCGTTCTTTTCCGGTCCAAGACCAAGCTCGCCAGAACTACCTTCACCGCAGACGTAGACGTTTAGACGAGTTGTCGGGGCGTGATTGATGACCACTTTGGGTTTCTCCTTCGTGGCACGAGGTTTCGCAACACGGGGCTTTTTCGCTTCCTTGGGTTCGGGAGCTGGTTCTTCATCGACATCCTCGGCTTTTCGCTTCTTCACTGTAGCGACGGATGTAGAGGTGGCAGATCTTTTTGTCGGTTTGGTAGCTTCATTTTTAGTGGTCGCAGCGGATGTTTTGGAAGGGTTGCTCTTTGAAGCGCGACCCTTGGTTGTAGTTTTAGACACCGTGGTATTCGTTGTACTTTTAGTACTTTTGGATGCATCCGAGGCTTTTGTAGAAACCTTGGACGCGCTTTTCTTGGGGGGCATGGTAATGTTGATTTGGAAGCAGCAAAACGGTTGTCTCAAAGAAGGATGTAGCTGAAAATGGAAAGTCGTAACCAAGGTCGCATGCAGAATGTGTGGAAACTGGAAAGGCAGGGAAGATCGGGGGGGGGGCCACAACAAATTAAAAAAACAAAAACAGAACAAAAAACAAAACAAAAAGAGGCAGGGGCCGGGAAAGAATGGTGACGCGACCTTCTCCGTATCGTACGTGGTAAGTCCCGATTAAGTAGGTAGGTAGGTATAATTACCACGTGTACTGTATATTACAGTACATACCTACCGAGTCAGGACTCGTAATACCCTAACCTAGGTGCTGTAGTACCTATTAATGGACAGTATCTAGGTAGGTACCTTAGGTACTATCTACTGTGGTCCCTACTGTCTAAACGGTAAACATCCACACTATGTATATCCTGATATTCTGGCTGCTGATTCCGTCGAGCCAGCAGCTCCAATCTTACCACACATGATGACATTCTGCCCCAACGGCACCCATTTCACCTCCCTAGGATTGAGCGCAGCATTGGGTTTCCCCTGTTCGTCACTCTTGGAATCTGGACTCACTCCTACCCCCCCACTACCCAAATACGTCGGCGCCACGGTCACAATGATCGAGTCAATAAACTCGGTGTATTCCGGGTTGAGCAACTCGCTCAAGACAGTTCCACCTCCTTCTATCATGATACTTTTCACGCCTTCGGATGCAAGGGCACGTAGAATTGCCTCCCAGCGCAGGCGCCAATGTTGGTTGTATTCCACAATGCGGAGAAAATCACCCCCGTATCCTTTCAACATCATCAATTTCTGCGGATGGATCTGGGCACCCGGTGATACAATCACCCACGGTGCCTTGCCTTTGCCTTCCACCGCGGTTCGCAGCATCCGGCATTGAGAATTAATGGGCCATCGCCCCGTGGGATCTATCACTACTGGTCGCGGTTGCCACATTCTTCCAAGTCCTCCAAAGCCGCCTGCCCCCTCCAGTCTACAATTTAACCCGGGATTGTCGGCAAGAACAGTTCCAACCCCAATGAGGATTGCGTCATGACGTGACCTCAGATAGTGCGTCATCAATTTGGCCTCTGGGCCTGATAATACCGTCTGCATTCCGGGGAGAAGTGATATCTTAGAATCCATAGAAGATGCGTAGGACAGGGTGACATGTGGTTTGCTGCTGCCCCCCTTCTGATTAGGAAGATATGGATCAAGGAAATCCAAAGCAAATTGAGGGAACGGCAATGTATCTGGTGGCAGGGGCGACGGCGGCGGCGCCACCTCCGCTGTCGCCGTGGTATCAAATGTTGTATCAGTGGTTGCTGTTGTCCTCACGATGCCGTGTCCTTTTTGGTATTCATAACCATCGTGGGGCATGAGCTTGACTTCGGGATTTTGTATTCTCCATTTTGCAGACACGTTGCGAACATCCGTGACGGTGCAGAACTTGCCTCCCGCTTCTACAAGCTTCTCGGACTCTTCCCGAAATTTCGTGTAGATAGATGACGGTAGATATCCTTTAACCGCCTCCTTCCGAGCAAACTCCATAAGCCCCGAATTTCGCTTCACTTTGTCAATGTAGTCAAGGTTGTGCGAGTGTATGTGACTGCTTCCGGGTGTCCTGGCGATAGTCACCGTGGAGTATGCACCCTCAAACTTCACCACCTTGATCTGGAAATTACATACGCCTCCTTCGCGCACCCTTTTTTTGCGGGGTCGTTTGCCCTCGGGTAGCGGGCGTGTTTCTGATGTGCGGTGAGTTGGACGTCGGAGACGGCACATATAATAATCTGTTGTGCAGTGGCCCTCTTTGCTGGAGTTGGACCTTTGTTTGACCCAGACATTGTCAATGAAAGGCCAGTATGTCTCAAATTCCTCAAGATTGATCTCTATCGGGTCCTTGCACTCAAACATTACCTGCCGTATCCTGGCAAGATTGGGCGGGTTGCAGATGATATCTCCCTCTGCCAGTTTGGTAGGAGTAGTTGATTTGTCTGAGGGGTTGTTGATGGGGGTTGATTCATCATTTGATCTGGCGGGTGCGCCATCGAGTTTGTTGCTGGATGGTTGCAAACCATCAAACCCGGAATGCCGTGGTGTATTTATACTCTTGTCTTCGTCGTCGACACCCCTGTTGCTGCCACCGCCGGGTTCCATTTCTCTATTATGTGCAGCAGCCAATCTAACGTTCAGAGGACCCAGCGTTTTCCTTCAGAGGAAGCTCGACATGCGCATGAGGTGAGGCCGGACTCGAATTGGTCCATCCGGCGTCTCGATCAATGTTTGGTTGGGGGCAGTCCATCGGCGTCCTGTTGGGCTGGCAGGTCCAAGACAAGCCCAGAGTTGCACGTGCAAATTCCGGAACCGGGATGCCCCACATCCGATGGGTTTGCTTCGTCCTCGGTGTACTGTAGATCTACGGCTTATTCCAACCCCAGTCTATACATACACTGAACTAGTACCGTTGACAGGATAATATATTCTATTAGTAGCAGGAGAGCCATGGCTCTTCTAATACGCGCCAATGTCTGCACCTGCCCGCGCAAGGGTCTCATACACTCTGGGTGGCAGTTTGTATTTGACCATCCCGGAGAAAATCATCAGGTCTTTGGCCATGACCAGCAATTCTTCCGCCAGTCCCTGTCTCATTTCATTTTCATACGCCCCGGAGTCCAACCGCTGCCTTTCGTGCCCGATGCAGGTAATGCTCCACATTATCACATGCCCGACATTGCGAGAGATGATTGGGGGGAACGACGAGAAAGCTTGCGCTGCGCTACGAATATGTGGAACGGAGCCTTTGGCGCGGAGCGGGAGAATGTTCAGTGCGTTGATGGCCTAGAAAGTTAGTAACTATATTAGTTGCCTCGGAGGGGAGGACTCACATCGAGCGCCGAGGTCCACTTGCCGGCTTGGACCTCTGCCTTTGCCTCCATCATGCGGAGTAGCAGACCACACGTATCCCGGTTCACCTGACGGATTCGCTGGTAATACATAGCATTCATATTGTAAAGCCCAATCATGTTCTTTGCCAGAACCACTGGGTCTTCCACCGCAGTCAAGCTGAGACTACTGCCTGGTTCAGCAGGAGTTGACTCCGGGTGGGATCGTGGCCGCAAAGGCTGCAATCTTAACGCAGGATCGCCCAACTCAACGGCCACAGAGTCGGACAGAGCGCCGTTGATGATGTCAATCACGCGGTCATAGTCTTCGGCCAGATGGTATAATAGCACTGCGTCTGCTATCAGCCCCTTGTCTTCGGCAACAGCAGCCGCTTGCATCGTTATGGCCTTCAAGAATTCGTCTTGATTGACCAATTTAATCAGACTGATGCGTTCTTCAATCAACCCCTTGATCCTTGTGCCATCGGATCGTATGTCGCCTAGCAACTTGGCAAAGTCACGAGTTTCCAGGATGAACTCTCTTAAAGCTTCGTGACATACAGAAGCCTGGGACTTGCCCAACGAGCCCGGAAGGTCAGCATTGAGGCAGAGTAAAGAAAAGTAATCAATGGCCGCTTCCACAAAGCCTGTGCGGAATTCCCGGGTGTATTGGGTTATGAGATGGCCGAAATTAATCTGAGGATATTGCTTGACAGTAAAGGATACTGTGCTGTTAGCTTTCGAAATCATCTGAAGAGGAAAGGGCAAACTTACATGGTTCCTCGCCTGAGGTGTAAAAGTCAGACACACGTAAAAGCCCATAATAGGCCAAGGCAATCGCAAAGTGCACGGCACTTACTGGGGCATAGACCCCGAGATAAGAGACCGCTTGCTCAAACATGCCTCCAAGTATCTGTAGAAGGAAGAAGGTGCCATAGCCACCAGGCCCTTCTTGGCCTTTACCGAAGACCCGCTGTCCAATCTCGGTTATATCGGTTTGAATGTCCTCAAGTCCGAAAACATCCCCCGCTACTTCCTCGGCACGATCATCTTCCCTAGCCAAGCTGAATTGCAACCACATCCAATCTTCGACAGTTTGGTTCACGCCTTCTAGACGCCTGCGGCTGAGTTCACAGCGTCCAATGATTTTGTAACAGGCCATGCGGTAAGGATCCACTGTGTTGTCAGGAGCATTGCGGGACCGCTGCTGGTATTCCCCGTTTATTTTCTGCTGCATGTCTCTAGGCAGTCGCCGGTTTTGGGCATATGTCGTCATGTATGTCACGAACTTGTGATCTAGTGACCGGAAACCAGGGTCCTGGCTAACATATTCAGCAGCCTCGGTGACAAAACCGCATCTGAGAAGGTAGAATATGAGGATCCAGCAATAGTCCTGACCAACCATTTGTATCTCAGTTCCATCAGGCGCGAGGTCCTTTCTCGCCGCTCTGAGCCTGATGTAAGCGCGAATTTTGTTGATTACTGTTGGGATGCCTCCAAGCTGTGCCTCGCGAGGATTCTTTGAGATCACATTTTCGACCTCGCCATAAAACATGTTCTCAAGAAAGACCCTCGAGCCTTCAACAATACGCTTTCTTAAATTCATTGCTCGACGAGAGTTCGGGGCCTCATCCAAATAGTCTCCGGCGAATTGTCGCTCTTTCGCCGCCCCAGTTTCTGATGCACTCATGATTTGCGGTAATTCCCCGGTGATGCTTATCAAGGCTCGGTAGGCATCGACAAGTTGACGAGGGACCTGAAGACAATTAGTTCGGGGGATTAAATCCAAAGAAATTGTTACTTACATCGCCACCGGCATCTGTTTCAACGCTCGAGAATTCATGGAGGACTGGGAAAGTGTGCGCCTGGAGCCTCGCAGAGTTTAGCAACTGTACTTTGGCCGCATAATTTCCCATTCTTTCCCGATGGTGTCGCATATCTGGAGCAGTTGAGCCTTCAGTTCGTTCCATGGGGTCCTCAAACAGCTGATGGTTGGCTGATCCGGCCGCGGGTGTTCCAATTACAGACTTATCCAAAGCCGAACGTCCAAAAACACTTCTACGAGACGAAAAGAGGGCGTTAGAAGCTGGACTGGGACCGAGGTTTGATTGCCTCGTCGACCGGCCAAATGATCCTTTCGTATCGCTAGTGGGTTCAGTTCGTTGAGCCAGACCGAAGTACTGAAAAATTTTACGACGCTGCTCCTCCCAATTCAAGTCCACTTTTCCCTCTAGAAAGAGGTCGAAATCCTTGTTTGTCCGAGTGAGACTCTCAGCGATCATAACTTGACGACCGCGCTGTTGTATGTTTCTGAGGAACTTCTGATTATCCGGATCAAAAGTAGCTTCTTGCTCCCTTGACTTTGACTCATAAGGCTCTAACGCTTTGAGGTCTCGCAATGCATGCCCGGCAGAAACACCTGACGCGGCGAGGAGGTAATGGCTATGGTAATGTTGGGTCAGAAAGACGGTCACATTGAGCACTGCGGAGAACTCACGCTTTACTGTTTGGTGCTTGCCCTTGGGTCGAAGGACTCCCAGTCCCAAGTTCTCTGGCTTTTCTTCGGATGTCATCAAGGCCCAACTGGAGGCTGGGAAGCTGCTCAAAATTACTTGTTTGTCCGAGGGCAGAAAGTGGTCTCTTTTTTCCGCGCTCCAATAAGCTATTGAAGAAAGCAGGTTGAGTTGTCTGGCTAGAAAGTTGCGACGGTGGCGCTGCAGTATTCTGAGTCTGGCTCTGTCCAAAGATTGAAGACTGGACGGGCGGCTGCTGTTGCCCAACAGTTCCAAATAGAGATCCATTGGTGCCTGTAGCAGATGTATTCCCAAAAACACTTGCTGGGTTATTTGGTGCGATAGGAGCTGAAGACTGAGTGGAAGCTCCTAAGCCACCGCCAAATAGAGGGGTTGAATTCGCCGATGCCATTGCGAAAGTCGTCCTTTCGCGGGCGGTATTTATTGCTCACACAAATGAAGATGTGAGAGCAAAAAGGAAGAGAGGAGATATGGGGAAAGCAGAGAGTTCCGGTTCTGTCGTTCGACAATGGTGCCTGAGAAGTCAGTGTCTAGGGACGACGCGGATGAGGTTAGCATAGTCTTACCGGCTAGAAAGATTGCAAAGTACTTGGCCAGTATTGGCCTGGATACCGGAGATTTCACCTTCTTTGCGCTCAACGTCGTCAATGTTTACGAAAATCACTTTTCCTGGGTAGTTACCCAATCTAGCTATGCCGGACTTATGTTTCGCCGAGTGTCTGTCCACCTGCTCCGAAACCAACCAACCGCGCAACACAGTTCGATGAACCCGGAATTCTCGCAAACTGACTATTGTTATTATCTGAATCTGTGACGTAAAATGCCTGTATTCCAGGCCAAAACATTCCGGCGCGCAACAACGGCGTCATCTTCGCTCGGCGAGCGAATTGGCGCTGCGTACAGAGCCACTCTTCCCCGGCATCCTTTTCTTCTTTTCGGCCTCCCTTTCGTGATGATTATAGTCGCCGGTTCGTTTGCGTTAACGCCAGCTGCTGCACTGAGATATGAACGATACGATCGCAAAGTAAAGCAACTTAGTCAAGAGGAGGCCATGAACCTTGGCCTGAAGGGGCCCGATGGGGAAGAGGGAATCAAGAGGAACCCCCGCAGAAGAATCTTAGGAGACGAAAGAGAAGAATATTACGTTAGTTCTGGCTTGTGCTTGGCAGAAGTGTTTTCGAGTGTCTAACTACTTGATTAGAGGCTCATGGCCAAGGATCTCGATGATTGGGACCAGAAGCGCGTTCAAAGGTTTAAGGGTGAACCAGATGGGAAAATATAAACCCCGGGGTTTCGGGGTGGAGCTGTTATTACAGTAGGTCTATTTCTCTTGAATAATTCTTCATTCTCGTTCAATAGACCGGGCGGCGGGGGGAGGCCCAATAGTTCAGGATTGGCTCAAGTATATCTACTGATCAGCATCATGCAGACAGTCGTTAAGCGGTTACCGTTAAATATCCACCCGTTCGCGAACCTAGCACTAGAATGTCTACGGTAGCCAGGCACAGTTCCCATCATCAGATCGTCGAACATTGTGAACTCGTCCCGACTGATCAAAAAATTAAGACACACCTACAGATATGGCCTATGGGGTTCAATTTCACGGATAGTCAGTAATTATGCGGGCAACCCATATGATTTGGTATGCTTTGATAGAAGGAGAAATCGAGCAAGTCCATCGACTGATCGAAATATGGTCATTGTTCGGATGACGGGAGGGCTGTAATCAATCATAAGTTTTTGGTCTGGGTCTTTTTGTAGGACAACGCGAGGTAGATAGATGATCATTTTTTTTCCACTTGGCCAAACCAGAGATATCATGGCTGTTATATTTTCTAGGAGACACCTGTGCTGATGAAGAAGATTCGGTGGCAAAATAATATATGATTTATCAGGCGTAACATGTCGCTCAGCAAGAGAAGACTCGAGAAGCTGGGGTTTAGCTGGCTGGCACTGCTCAGTGGCTTACTCTGAGTGTCTGGCGACGGGCAAGGAGTAGGCGCTTTGGAAGAGGACTCTGTATCTACAGGATTCCATTTAGAAGACTGCACCATACAGTTCCCGTCCTTGGTAAACCGACATTCCTTTCGATAACTAGATTGTTAAAATTACGCCCCTTCGTGAGCCTATGTACCGCCGTACACCGTAGGCGGAACTTCTACAACCTATGCAGCTCCGCATCTCCCCGGATTTCGAGAGACAGACTTCATCGGGCATTGGGGTCAGGTAAGTGACTCTTCTCTTCCCTGTTGCGTAACCTACATCGGAGAAGGTAACTATCAAGACGAGAAAAAAGTGGTGTGAGAGATTCTGCAACTTTGGGAGATCTCGATTGAACAAACAAAAGGTATGATCTTCAGAAGGTTAGAGTCCAGGCTTGCCATTAACACCGTTAAGCAAACGTCTCAAGCTAGGTAACCGAGAACTTTCTAGAACCTTTCAAGATAACTCACCACGAGCCGACTGTATAAGCGTACTCAGTATGTTATATGTACCTTCAGCGCATTTTACAAAAGACTACAAGCAAATCTGAATATCTTCTACACTGTAGGCATCAATAGCCGGGCCCTACGCCCTACGTTGTAGGAATGACCTTGTTTTTATGGCGGAGACCGTGTGATCCGTGGAGGCATCTGGCTGGAGTCTTCATCAACTCCGTTGAGCCATCATAAATAGGTACATCCATACCCAGGTACAGTACGGTACAGCTTAAGTACCGAGTATAAGGTAAATGGTATGTACTAAGGTAGTAAGGCAGTACATACATACACCGTAGGTAGACATACTGTAGTTATATACGTCATAAATATGTATGTACTGTACTATACATACAGTACCTAACCGAGCCATCTATGTACATACACCTAGAGGGACCTACCTACCTATTATATGTACCTACCTGGTAGTACCTTATGTATTGTATGTAACTATCTTACAGAGTATGTACGTAGGGTATGTACTGTATCCATGGATAATACAGGGCACTGGCCAGGTATGATGGCCATCGTCGATCCAGACCGTCATCTCTTCTCTCTCTCTCGCTCTCTCCCTCTTCCCTCTCTCTCCCTCTCCCTCGTCTTCTCCCATCTACTCACCTTTGGATTTTTGCCGCTGTCTAGCCGGCTACCCACCCCATAACGTCATAACCGGATAACTGCTAGTACTACTTTTCCCTCCCATTTTCTTTTGGGCCTATTCGCCCATCCAAAAAGAAAAAAAAACTCGCTTATCTATCATTGACCCGATTCCCTTCGTGCCCCAAGATGGCGGTGGATCAGTGATATCAGCCAGGCCCCTCATACCCCCACTATCCCTTTCTTCCGTCCTCGATTGGTCCAGGCACCTCGAAAGTCCTTTCTGCCATCATTTTCGGCCCCCCCTTATCCGTGAAAGTGAGAGACTTGTGTGAGCCACAACCGTCGGTTCGGTCAGAACTACGTACCAAGTAACTACCTAGGTTTTACTACTGCTCTCCTTGCAACCACTTGGTCTTCTTATATATACTAGATCGCTGTGATCTTCGTTGCCACCCACTTTCGTTCCCTTAACCTGAGTTCTCTTCTAGGAGATTTCGCGGCCAGTTCAGTACTTGTTCGTGGCGGGTTGAGCGCCTCCAGCATTGCATATTAGACTTGGTAGGCTCTCCAAAGTTCAAAATTCCTTTCCCTCGCCACATTCCAATCGGCACAGTTCTATCTTCTGCTCTTACAACCTCCGATCAAATCCGGTGATAAAAATACCAAGAGTTCTGCGGATTTCGTCCTTTGCGATCATCTCGAGATGGCAAGAAACCTATATGTTTGATTCTGGTATCCGGTATATCAGAAAATAAGCGCAGATATTATTTTGCTCCTGGAAACAAGTTATGTCTGCTATGACGGGTCCAAGATCACCCTCCTCCCCCTGGCCTTCGGAGTCCACAAACCTGCAGCTTGCAGGCCATTCAACTACAGCGCCTTACTCGTTTCACACGTCTTCGCGCAGTCCTGGAACTCGCCCCCATTATGCAGGAGCCGATTGCACCGGCTCCGGTTATTTCTCTATCAGCGTGGACAATTCTGCCAACGCCAGATGCGGTCCGCCATCCTTCTCTCAAGCAACTGCTCCCGGTCCGGGGTCGCTTTTGGGCAACAAAATGCTGGATGGTATGAGCCCTCGGAAGACTCCGATTGAGTCTGAAGAAAACAAAGGACTATCTATGCATAAGAGTCCTCTCAATCCTGCCACCTCTCTGGAGCCCAAGTTCGGAAATTGTCACGCCATCTCAGTTGATCGCTGTGCGGAGCTGCTTGGTTCATGTCAGCATGACGTCATGCTCCTAGACGTGCGGCCGTATGCACACTTCGCCAAAAGAAATATCAAAGGTTCATTAAATCTTTGCATCCCAACAACCCTTCTTAAACGCCTTTCATTTGATACACAGAAGTTGGAAAACACGTTTTCGGATGAATCTGACCGACGGAATTTTGCCAAATGGAGACACTGTCGATACATTGCCGTGTATGATGCAGCCACATCTGACATAAAAGACTCCGTGCCTCTGGCGAACGTACTGAAAAAATTTACCGCCGAAGGATGGAATGGCGAAGGACTGATATTGCTTGGTGGCTTCAATGCTTTCTCCGACCGTTTTCCTGGGTTCATACAACAACAATCGCCACTCCCTAAAAAGCCAACGTCGATGCATCTTAATCTTCCGTCTGGTGCTCCAATCGCGGGTGGGTGTGCCTTGCCGGACGCCTTTCGCCCTGCAATCCCGTTCTTTGGAAACATTCGTCAGCACATGGATCTACTTGGCGGTGTTGGCCAAATACCACTGCAGCTTCCGAAGGGGCTTACCGAGTCTAAACAGAAACTGCTCCCTGCCTGGCTTCGTAAAGTAGCCGATCCGGCAGATAAGGGATTGGATGTCTCTGAAAAATTCTTAGATCTCGAGAAAAGAGAGTTGGAGCGCATGAAGCAAGCCTTGTCATACAATCAGTCTGCCGACGCATCCAGGTTTAAAGTCGCGGGAATCGAAAAGGGCACGAAAAACAGATACAACGATGTTTATCCTTTTGACCATACCCGAGTCAAACTACTGGATATACCTCCTGGTGGTTGTGACTATGTGAATGCAAATTACATGAAAGCGGAGTATAGTGACAAATGCTATATTGCCACGCAGGCTCCTGTGCCGGATACATTTAATGTAAGTTCCATATGAGACGGGGCAAGAATTGTACTGACGAGGACAGGACTTTTGGCGTGTGATATGGGAGCAAGACATAAGACTCATCGTTTCCTTGACTGCAGAGGTCGAAAGAGGCCAGGTCAAGTGCCATCCCTACTGGGAATCTGGGTCTTATGGGCCTTTCCAGATCCATAATTTTGCCCAGAAATACATCTACATGGATGATCCCGGGTTAGAGCAGGTTGACAGACCAAAAAAATCTGCCACGGACTCGAACGAAGGTTCCGAGAATTCTTGCATCATTGTACGACATTTCAGCCTATCACATACTGCGTTCCCATTCCAGCCGCTTCGTGAGGTCACCCAGCTGCAATACCCATACTGGCCTGATTTTGGCACTACCTCGCAGCCAACGCATCTCCTGAAATTGATCGCACAATGCGATAAAGTCAGAAATGAAACGGTCAATCGATCACGGCCAATGGTGGCACAGCCTATACTGGTGCACTGCAGTGCAGGATGTGGTCGCACCGGTTCTTTCTGCACTGTCGATAGTGTCTTGGGCATGCTTAAACACCCCCTGGAGAGCACTGCACAACGAAAACATGTCGCAAAAGATGCCCCCGCCCATGAAAATTGGACACACAATGAAAATTTAGATCTTATAGCGAAAGCCGTTGCCGATTTCCGTACCCAAAGGCCCAGCATGGTACAGAATCTGAGCCAATTTGTTCTGTGCTACGAGAGTGTATTAGAATGGAGTGTTTCCAACTTGGTTTCAGATGGCAGCAATTGACAATATAAAGGAAATACTCGTTTAATTCAATTTTTTCTTGTATGGGCTTGCGAGGGTTTCTTTCAAACCAGTTGTAGGGCATGTTTTAAAAGTACACTGCATTTTCCGGTGTTTGCTAGGTAGATGGGAATAAGATCTATACCTCACTTGAAACAACCCAATTTTGGTGGTATACGAATTGAACAGACAGACAGAGAAAATACTCTTAGGTAGTCATCTGGATGTGTTGGTAGTAGGCAAGTTAATATTACCAGGCAGCGGCGGCGGATGCCTGCAGGCCGCAACACTTGTCTTCCCCACCAAATCGGAGATCCATATGTATTTAGTTTAATTCAGTCTCACGAGTCTTGCTGGAAACACTTCAGTCCGATTCTCTTGATTTGCCTTTGCGAAAGACACCCCCAAGAGATCCTCTGGTCAACACGGCCTCCTTGATCGGTGCCATGCTTCTGAATCTCCCGACAGAACTGATCGAACTTGTTCTTTACCACTCCAGCACGCCCACCTTTCTAGAGGCTGCGTTTTCCTGTCGCACTCTCTATGAAATTGCGTCAAACTGCCGAGAGGTGATCCTGCATCATCTCCGCCACACCCCAGGCTTGAATACTGCTACCCAATCGCTCCAGTCGAAGCAGCTGTTTAGTGTGCTTGTGGGCCGTGCACACCAGCAGCTTTATGGTGCCCAATTCCGTGCACATTGCACAAAATTCCAGGCCGATGCAACTACACTTGATGCTCAGGCCTCATCATTTGCTCCCCATGACCAAATAGTCGTTCTTGCGCTCAAAGATCAAGAAGGTGTCCACATCTTCCAAGCTGAAAATGGCGATCTTCGACACAAGGCTCAATTCAAGTTGTCTCTAGGCCAACCAGGCAAAACTCAAGTTCTCAGAACAGCCTTCGACGGCGAAGACGGCGTCTATGTCCTTCACAAGTTTGATCCTGCTGTGGCTGAAGATGATTTAGAGCCAGATCATCCATTTGTCAAGCAAGCTCTGCAGTCAAGGGCCAGTGGCGGTCACATCTACCTTACCCGCCATTCGTATCAATCCCGTCATGATCCAGTCAGAGTATGTGCATTCCCGGATCAAACGGATTATCGGCCTCTGGCTCTCTCTGTTGCCCACAGGGATACTTTTGCGATATCCTGGCAGCATGTCCGCGAACACGGTGATTATGAAGTGATTCTTTACAACGCGTTGCCCGACTTAAGAAGCGATGAAACCCTGGGAATAATCGGTATTCTACCTTCTTATCTAAATTTCATGCTCGTCTAACAATTCTTAGAGCTTAATTATAATTCCTGTGTCCTGGTCGATGGAGCTAGACAACGACCTGACGGTGACTACCTCCAATCAAGATTGGCCTCCAGTCTTTTAGACAGAGGGCCAATAATAGATCTTGCGTTCAATGACAGGTCAAGCCAATTGCTTTATTACTATCGTGCGCAGACTTTATATGGATCATTCCAGAGAATAAACAGGTCATCATTCCCTGTTCAGCCCACGTTGTACGAAAACTCCTGTCTGGTGAAGTTCTCACACTCCCTGCATCTTCTTTTCTCCATTGCAATTCCTTTTTTTGGGACACATTCCACACACATTGAGAATGGTCGTTCCCTCTGTCAATGGAAATACCTTGCGTTTGGCATAGCTACCCATCGTGCAGAGGATTGGACCGTCGCTTGTTTGCTGAAGTCCGAATCGGTCTGTCAGTCTCGCAACTGTGAGCATGTTATGAACTTAGAACGAGGCCGACGATTTCCCGACTGGTCCATAGTCGCACGACTCTGGGGCTTCCAAAGCTCGACTAACTCCCTCGGTTGCATCGTGGCTGCCTCGAAAAGCGGCACCCGGATTGCTGTGGCCAACTGGAAAGTCCTCTACGTCTGGGCCCTAGAGCCCACGGCGCTCATACAACAGAATGAAAATGGATTCTACCCGCCTTCGTCACAATCTGGCGAAACGATTGAGCTACGGCCCATTGCACTTCCTCTGGACGCCGTGTGCTTTAAGCTGAAGTTTATGCATAACGAAGACGAACTAATAGCTTTCACGGATCGGGGAGTGATGCATTGGGATCTTCGCCCATCTGGAAGAGGTTTGCGGATAAACAAACAACTTGATATCAAACAGAGCGTATGCTTGGCTCGGGATATGGTGTGAATGGCGAACTGCTCGGTACGGAGGCTAGGTAGTTCCGCAGCAAAAGGGAAAGAGATAAAGAAACGGCTAAGAGAAACATTGTTTCATTCTTATCGTGATGTGTTGTAGAACACAAATACCTTGTACATAAAGACAATAACCAACCAACTCATTCGAGCCATCCGGCTCTGTCGAACATGGCTGTGCACCCAGCTTATGGGAAAAGGAAGTATTGTACATAATATATCTCAAAGAGGATAAGGTTTTGATTACGGTGTGATATGCCTGGAGAAACCCAAAATATCTGGACCTATCAACCCCTGTCAACTGCGCAACGAGCAAGAACAGAAAATCATTGGGGGCCGCACCGAGCATGCTTTTGACTCTGACGAGGTTCTTCTCAGCAAGTGAGGTAGTTAACGCTATCTCCTGCCTCTGGTACGGTTAAACATTTCCGTCCATGCCCACCGTCCGTCAAGACCAAAGGCTAAGGTATCACTATTGGCACAAGCTAGTCTACGTAGCGAGCACAAGATATTCAGGATTTACATCTATTGTGAGATCTTACTAGCCCGGCTTCGAAAGGGCTGCGGAAACAGCCACTAGGCCGTGGCGAGGTGTGATACTTTCAAACACCCGCGCGCGAACAGTGACGGGAAAATGTGACGGGGGAAATGGTGTAGGTAGGAAAGACGTCATAAAAATGAGGCCAGGCTAATCGGTTAAAGGCGTCCTCCTTGTCATGATTGAGCAACCATAGATCGAGCATGCAATTATCAGTAGCAGACAAGTCAGAAGAGGCATGATGAGGCCACGCAGGGTCTTTGTATTGCTTATTGCCCTTCGCCGCCTCCAGACATAGCTATGAAAGTGATGATGAGGAATACCCACCAATATCTGCAAGGTGTTCGGATTAGCATTTCGACGCTCGAGGCCGGAGAAGCAGAGAACCTACTTCTGAAACAATGTTTTTTCAACGGCTTCATCGGGGTTTCCACCGTCCGGGCTAAGGACAATCGGTCGGTTAAGGTGCGGGCGCGGACCTGCGTCGCTGGCGACCAGCTCAATGTCGGGTCCCGGAGAAGCTGAAGAAGCCGTTGAAGCAGATGTCGGGGCTAAGGAGACGTGATAAATCTCATTTGAGGAGTCCAGGTGAAGCCGGATAACGTTGGCTGTGTTCTTCGAGAGAACGGAGCGCGAGGTGAGAGTACCGATCCATTTGCTGGGATTTGCCGATGTTGACGTGTATAGGCCGATGCGGACCATATCCTGATCCTCGGCATGGTCCGTAGGGCTTGGAGGGTGGTAAGATACTAGGTCAGGCGTGGAGATGGTCGCCGGATCATAAGAGATGCGAGCGAGGAGTGAAGGTTCGGGAGACGACAGAGGCCAGTAGAAGATATCGGTGGAGAATGAAGAACTGGCAAGGCAGCCAGAGCATATGGCCAATACGACGGAAAGTAAGATGGTAGAGGAGCGCATCCTGAATGAACGAGGAGGGAGGGCGAAGGAGCTACCAGGTATCCCGTAGTCTGAGCAGACGACGGAGTATGTTTAAACGTATGGATGGACCTGCGGAGGCGGTGAAGACGGGCTGTCATATTCTGCCGCTTGGCGGGTGGGCTACGTATATTTACCCCAATCCTCTGTCTTAGATCTTTCTACCTACCATCACCACGCTGTATCGATCCACGAAGAAAAAACAAACTCCCAAACTCCCAAACTCCCATATATAGAAATATATTGATCAAAATAGCCACTAGCTGGGGCTCCTCCAGGGTTTCCCTTGCTCTTTCCAGACTTCCCAGGCTTATCCTTCTCAAACTCGGTCTTTCTTGCCAGTCTGCTCTTCCTAAAATCCCACCATGGCTTCCTCAACCCAGTTGCCCTATCGGCGTCCATCTCGGCAAGGCTCCAGGCAAGCTGCCAGGGACAGTCGAGACGATATTCAGGTTCACATCGACCACTTCATTGGTATTGATGTTGGAACAGGAAGTGCTCGTGCGTGTATCATCGATAGCAAGGGTGACATTGTGGGCTTAGCATCCGAAAATATCGGACTTTGGCAGCCTCAACAAGGATACTATGTGGGACTTCACAATTGCTAGTAACAAGAGCAGGAAATTAATGACATTGGTCAGGAACAATCTACAGGTGACATTTGGCGCTGTATCTGTGTTGCTGTTCAGCGTGCCATCAGTCAGCACAACGTCGACCCAGATACCGTAAGGGGCATCGGGTTTGATGCAACCTGCTCACTGTCAGTGTTTTCAAATGTTACTGACGAACCAATTTCTGTGACGGGTCCCAATTTCGATTCAGATCGCAATGTTATCCTCTGGCTGGATCATCGTCCCGTGGATGAGACCGAAAAGGTCAATGCCACGAACCACAATCTGCTTCGCTACGTGGGTGGGAGAATGTCCATTGAAATGGAAATCCCCAAGGTTCTGTGGTTGAAGAACAACATGCCCAAGGAGCTTTTTGAGCAGTGCAAATTTTATGATCTGGCGGATGCATTAACTCATATCGCCACGGGCAATGAGAAGAGGAGTTTCTGTAGCGTTGTCTGCAAGCAAGGCTACGTTCCCGTTGGCGTTGATGGAAGTGTCAAGGGATGGCAAGAAGACTTTTTGACCGAGATTGGTCTTGAGGATCTAGCAAATGATGATTTTAAGCGAATGGGAGGTGTTGATGGGGTGGTGAGCCCCGTTTCTTTTTTGTCTCTTCCAAACTTGCTCCCCCTCCCGGAAAAGGATGATCTTGAATGGCTGACAATCTGAGAGGGCTAGAACGGAGATTATCTTAGTGCTGGTGAATTAGTCGGAACACTGTGCGATAAAGCAGCTGCCGAACTCGGTCTTCCCGCAGGAATTGCCATAGGAAGCGGCGTCATTGATGCGTATGCGGGTTGGATTGGTACTGTCGGGGCTAAAGTTAATTTGGAGTCGGACCAGCTGAGCTCCAACGTCGCTAAAAATGACAAGACGCAGGCCTTCTCCCGTCTGGCTGCGGTCGCCGGGACTTCGACCTGTCATCTAGCAATGTCACCAAATCCAGTTTTTGTCCCGGGTGTATGGGGTCCCTACCGAGACACAATCCAACCGGGCTATTGGATGGCCGAAGGAGGCCAGTCAGCTACAGGCGAATTGCTCAAGCATGTTATCGAGACGCACCCTGCTTTCAACCAGGCGGTCTCGATTGCAGAGTCGTACAATTCCAATATCTATGAATACTTGAATGAGCACCTGAAAGAGATGGCCCACGAGCAAAAGGCTCCCAGTGTCTCCTATTTGGGGCGTCACTTCTTCTTTTACGGTGACCTTTGGGGCAACCGATCTCCCATCGCAGACTCTGCGATGACAGGCTCTGTGGTCGGTCTTTCGAGTGACAAATCCGTGGATGGTCTGGCAGTTTATTACTACGGAACACTCGAATTCATTGCCCTGCAAACTCGCCAGATTGTCGAGACCATGAACCAGGCTGGTCACGGCATTACCTCCATTTTCATGTCTGGCTCTCAATGCCAGAATGACATACTAGTGAGGCTGATTGCATCTGCGTGTGGCATGCCTGTTCTTATTCCCCGATATATCCACGCTGCTGTTTGCCATGGCGCAGCAATGCTTGGTGCCAAGGCTGCCAGTGCTGACGCCGACGGCCGCACGGAAGACCTGTGGGACATTATGGACCGTATGAGCAAGCCTGGGAAAAAGATTGCCCCAACGGATGACGTGAACGAAAGGCGCTTGCTTGATGTCAAGTACAAAGTCTTCCTCGAGCAGTGCTACAAACAGCAAGAATACCGCGCCCAGGTTGATCAAGTTGTGAATACCTGGAAGCAAGCGTGAATACTTGGAATGGCCTTCCCATCATTAGCAGAGCAAACTTTCGGTAGTTTATGTTATAGCTCTGGGTCTTTTATTGATCTCATCAAGGTAATCGGACAATGATAATTTCCAACGATTAGTAAAGAAAAGGAACATCCCAAATAACAAAACCCCCTTCACCCCATATCTATATCCCACCTCTTTAGCCCGACCGAAGTGAACATACCAAGCTAATCGGTCTCGACAATTGTTCAAGCATCGCATGACATTTGTCCTTCACTGCTTACTCGAGTCTCGGTCGACTAATAAGCTCGACCGCTTCTTGACCTACCGATCGTGTAGAATTTCTCGGAGGTTTCAGAGCCAAGCGCTAATGTATCGAAGCGATCAACACCCATGGTGTCCATGTTGCTATATCCAGAAAGGTAGAAGCCGATCACGACAACCAGATAGGTAAGTACGAGGATAGAACCTTTGAAATAGTTGCTCTTCCCTTCTCCATGTACGTATGAAAGAAGAAAAACGCAGAGGATGACCGAGATCATGTCCCACTGAGGAAATATGAGGCTATTAAAAAATTAGCTTTCTAACATCATAAAGCCAATACATCCGGGGTCACAGGGGGCTTGCTCACTTGAAAGACCGTGTAAGGAGTTCCGTGGGCTCTATAAGTTGAGCATAAATGGCACTGAAGAGTACAAGGGCTGGTATCTGCAATAGGCAAACCTGTAGCACATACGCCGAACCAATCTCCATCGACAACGCAATGTTTCCGTGCATAGCGAAGGAAATAGCATTCTAACGCATCGTGAGTTCCATGTTCAAGCTGGGGGTGAGGGGGGAAGGGAACAAACCAGAAATTCCGTAGTGTTGGGTACAAGAGCGAAGAGAGTGATACCAAGGAACTTCTCATCAATATCAACACTCTCAAGTACCACATCAACGGTGTTGACAAGGATTTCAGCGATGATTGCATAGAGAATTGTCGCCACCAGAAGGATTATAGAGCTTCTGGCTCTGCTCCAGTTAGGCGCGTCATGTCCACCACTGGTGTGACCATGTTCGAGTCCGATATCGTCGTGCTCCTCCAGCACGGCCTTTACAGGATCTGCAGGGCTCTTGCTATCTTGACGAGGCGTTGAATGCTGGACAGACGGCTTCCGAGTTCGGGCGACATCTCGAGCAGCAACT